TCATACGTAAGGATTTATTATTGTCATTTTTTAAATTTTTTTGTATGATTTGTGGTTCTTTTGTCCTTCTTTTCCTCTCTTTCTGTCTTCCTCTGTAATTTATTGATTTTTAAAAATAGTGACATGCTTTGATTTCTTTTTATTTTGTGTGTCTAATATGAGTATTTCTTTTTTTTGTGGTTACTATGGGGCTTAGATAAAACATCTTATAGTTATAGTTGTCTATTTTAAGGTGATAACAATATAACTTCAATCACATACAAACAATCTACACCTGTCCTCTCTGCCCTCCCACTTTATGTTATTGATGTTTCACTTCACATCTTTTTATATTGTGTATCCATTAAGAAATTTTTTATTTATAGTTATCCTTACTACTTTTGTCATTTAACTTTTATACTAGAGTTAAAAGTGATTTATACACTCCCAGTTCAATATTATAGAGTTGATATTTGTGTATGTGTTTACCTTTACTCATGAGTTTTATACTTTCATATGTGTGTTTTTGTTTTGCACCCTTTCATTTCACCTTGAGGAATTCCCTTTAGCATTTCTCGTAAGGCAGGTCTAGTGATGATGAGCTCTCAGCTTTTTTTGTCTGGGAAAGTCTTTATCTCTCCTTCATTTCTGAAGGATAGTTTTGCTAGGTATATTATAGGTTGGCAGTTTTTTCTTTCAGTACTTTGAATATATCATCAAGAACAATATTTCTTAGAAATCTTTATATATGAATATATAGAGCACTTTTGTTTTCTTTTATAGAGTGGCTTATGATATTTTATTGCATAGATTATGGTAAGTTAGTTAATGGATCCCTGTTATTGGATATGTGAATTGTTTCCAATCTTTTGCTTTTACATAACTGCATAGAGCATTTTGTATGCAGGTATATCGGTAACATTAATTCCTAGAAAAGGGGATTACTAGATTAAAAAATAAATCCAAATTTCTTTCAACTAGTTTATTTACTTATTTATTTATTTTGAGGAAGATTAGCCCTGAGCTAATACCTACCACCAATCCTCCTCTTTTTCTTGAGGAAGATTGCCCTGAGCTAATATTTGCGCACATCTTCCTCTACTTTATATGTGGGATGCTGCCACAGCATGGCTTGACAAGCAGTGCGTAGGTCCATGCCCGGGATCTGAACCAGCAAACCCTGGGCTGCTGAAGTGGAGCGTGCGAACTTAACTGCTGTGCCACCAGGCATGCCCCATCAACTAGTTTATTTTGTAAGCAAATTGTAACATTATTTGAACTTAAAATACAACATTCAGTTTCCATATTATAAAAGAAAAGGGAACAAAGAAAGGATAATCAAAAGGCCCATAAAATCAGAAAGCCTAGAACAGTGACAAAAGTAAACCCAAACTCATGTGTAATCACCATAAATATTAAGGGGGTTCAACACTGTTGTTAAGAGCAAAGGCTCTCAAACTGGGTTTCCAAATAAAACCTAATATACTATTTACAATATAACAATATACTACAAGAGACATTTCTAAAATAGAATTATACCGAAAGTTCAAAGATTGGACAAAAGTATTTTAAGCAGAAGGAAGTAGAAACAGAGCAATCAGTAGTCACACTAGTAAAATCAGACAAGATAGGATTCAAGACTAAAAAACAAGATAAAAAGATGTTCATCTAAAAGAATAAAATACACAGTGAAGTATTGTCACCATGAATTGTCATGTGCTGGATACACATTTTATAATTGTTATTTATTGTTACAAACATAGACCTGAGGGCTTGTTCTGGACATGAAAGCTCAAGGAGAAACAAATAAACAAGGAGACATACTAAAAGAATGTAAGTGTTAATTATTGTGTATATTTGAACTTTACTCCCTAAAAATAAATAATGTTCCTTCTTTTCAAGTATCCACAGAATATTTACAAAAAAATGATGGGGTATTAGGTCACAAATGCACCTTAGAAATTTCGAGGAACAGAAATTGTACAGACTACATTTTCTGACCACAAGGCACTAAAGGTACAAGTCCTCTACAAAACGTTAAGTGAATGAAATGCCAACTACTTGGAAATTTTAAAATTCCTTTCTGAGTAACATGTGAATCAAAGAGGAAATCAGATGCAATTGCCAATGACTCAGAAAACCATTCTGCTGCTCAGAGTTGTGTCCTGAGCCGTCTTCTGCAGTCATGCCATTCATTCTCCCCCAATCACCTCATTTAATTTCGTGATTTCAGTAATCATTCCTGTGTTAATACTTTTCTCTCCAGTCCAGACATTTCTTCTGAGTTCCAAACCCAGAGTCAGTTGCTTCTGGATATTATTTACCTAGCTCATTCTCAGTATACTTACAATACTTTATCCTGTGCTCCATGCACATCTGCTCTTGCTCTTGTCTCCCCAATTTCAGTTAACCCCCATCCATCTGCATGTTGTCCTTAAATCCTTCACTCCCCCAGATAAGATCAGTCACCAAGTCCTGGTGGTTTTTCCTCCCTAATATTTACTAAGTTCATCTCTTTCTCTCTGGATCCACTGCCCCCAGATTCCCCTTAGCACCCTTTGTCTCTCACCTCAGTGGCGTCAGGAGCCGCCTAAGTCGTCCTGACCTGGTCTCCCTCTTCCCCGTTTTACGTGACATCCAGACGGATATTTCTAAAGCACCAATCGGATATTTTCACCACTGCTTAAAATAACTAAATCGTTTCCTATTTCCCTTAGAATAAATTCAACAACACTTCTTACTGTGGATAAGAAATGTTTATTTTATGGGCACCTGCTCACCTGTTTAGTTCCATCTCTCCTCACTCCTCCCTGATGTACTTGAAGCTCCAGTCATAATAAACACTTTATGGTTCTCCTAATGCACTGTATTTTCCTTTGTGTCCAGGCCTTTATGGATGCTGTTCCTTCTACCTAAAACAATCTCCCCGCTACCTCCGCCCCCTTCACTTGCTGTGTTCCTACTTGTCCTAAAGCATTAGCTTAGATGCTCCTTCATGTGGGGATCTTCCCTCCAGTCTGCATGAACCACAGCTCCTAGGTGCCAATGGCATCCAGTGCTTACCTTTGTCATAAGCCCCTATCTCCTTTCATTGCAGTCATCTGTCTCCCTCCAAAGCGCCCTTCTAAAATTAAATGTCTTGAGGAACTTAGTTCACCATCAATATTCTCAGCACCAGCAGAGAGGAGTCTCACTTGATAAACATTTTTGGAATGAGTGAAATAATGGCAATAGTTGTATTGCGTTTCAAAAATCCAAGATATACAGTCAAAGCTGTACTCAAAAGAAAATTAATACCTTTAAATATTTTAATTTTAAAATAAGCAAATTAAAATAAACTAAAAGTCAACTCAAAGACTTAGAAATTTCCATGTAGGCTAGAAATTGAAGGGAATTTCTTTGATTTGATAACAACTATCAGAAACGAAAGCAAACATCAAGCTTAAGGATGAAACATTAGTACTATTTCCTTTAAAGTTGGAAACAAGACAAATATACCTGCTGTAACTATTCTTATTCAGTATTGTTCTGGAGACATTAGTTAATACAACATAAGAGTGAATAGAAATTATAAGTATAAATATTGGGGAAAAAAGAGATAAAATTGTCATTATGTGCAGATGATCTGATTGTATACCCTAAAAAAAAGAAAATCAATTGAAAACTATTCAAAATAATAAAGTTCAGGAAGATGACTGGATACAAGATAAATATGCAAGTGTTCATAGCTTTCTTAATTGTCCTACGCAATGAACAACTGTAAAATATATTTTCAAAGAGCTCACTCACTATGGCCATAAAAACTATAAGATGCCCAGGAATAAATTTATCAAGCAGCATACAAGTCCCACTCCATTGTGGTTAAGGGATCAGTTCTGGGGTAAACTGTGTGGGTGTGACTCTCAGCTGGTAAAGTGTCTGGTGACCTTAGGAAAGCTTCAGCTCTGTGTGTGTGTATATTTGTAGAAAAAACAACTGGAAAGATGTATGCACTGTGATTGGCACTCCTCTGACATTTAGGTTCCAACCTAGTCTTGACCAGACCGGCTTCCTCAGCTGTAAGATGGCACTAATGTCGACTGCTTCCCGGGGCATGGGAATAACCGTGAGAATCAGCGTCTCCTGGAGCATGCATTGTGCCCACTGGAGGGTGCATTGAAAATGTCGTGAAAATAGTGGTGACATCTCTTTTTTTGTTAGAAAGGCTTGCCATGGATGCCACGTTCTCTCTATCCAGGGCACTGCAGGAGGAGGGGACATCCTCGAAACCAGTGACCTAGCTTGGTCTAAGGCATCACCTGAGGCTGCTCTAGCTCTTAAGAACCAGATGAGGCTCCTCTGGGTTTATCATTCACGGCCCAGCAGAATGCTGAGACTTCTCAAGATGTGGGGGAAGAAATTCCTTTAATTCCTCATGCTCCCTCATGCTCCTCAGCCTCTGCACCGCACTGCATCAACCCAGACTTGAAACTCAGCACCTCTTTCTGTCCCCTGAGATGACCCTCTTTTAAAAAAATATTAATGAACAAAATCTATTTCCCTGGAGATTTTATGTTCCTCCTGAAGAAGGAACGTTTCATTGTATGTGCCCAGTGAACAACATAAAGACCATATTAGATATTTTTGTTTCCCAAAGGCTTCTTTGTGACAACCCACTGCTGGACATTTCTCTCTCTGTCTCACCCAGCTTCACCAGCTCCTCTTTTCCAGCCATTCTCCCGCTACCCCCTCTCAACTTCAAATTTCTCTCCCTTCTCAGTACACAGCAGTCCACCCTCTTTGATTCCTATTCCTTGACTTGTATCCATGAACCAGTCAGGTCCTTAGTAGACCAAAACCCTTTGCTTTAACACGATCCCCCAACTGCCACAGAGGAGCTATAGAAATAGCCATTTTTCCCATGATATGTGACTAAACTCATTTGCTGATGTGACCAAAATGCTAAATGGTGTTTGTCTTATGGTTCGATGGCCCTATTCTTAAAGGAATTTGCCTTTGTCATATTTGTTTTTGTTCCAAAGGTGTCCCTCAGCCTAATATAACTTGGGTGAAGAGAGGAGGATCTCTGAGTGACAATATTTCCTTGCTTTTCAATGGATCCCTGTTGTTGCAGAATGTTTCCCTTGAAAATGAAGGAACCTATGTCTGCACAGCCACCAATGCTCTTGGAAAGGCAATGGCAACATCTGTGCTCCGCTTGCTGGGTACGTTTCAAATTCTTGCTGTTCTTCAAGTGGTTCCCATAATATGTACAAAGGAGGACCCAGTTTTTGTTGGTTCTGGAGTCAAGGAGTGAACAAGATGGACATTAAATGGTTTTAGCTAGTCCTGCCATTGCCTACCTACAAAGGAACACTAAATCTAATATTCCTACCGGTTCTTGTCTCAGAAGGATGGGACTTTCTTGCTGCTGCTTTTCTGCCTAAGAACCTGCAATGGGATTTGAACTTTTCTGCCCAGAATCAAGACTCTTCATGTTCTGCCTCCTCATCTGCTTGGCTCCTGACCCTGAGCCCCATTCTAAGCTAGCACTGATCTCTGTTCTCGTCAACGTGGTTTCCCACCCTATGATCCAATACACACACACACACACACACACACACACACACACACACACACACACCATGCTTTTCTCCAGGCACCCTGCTCTCCCAGGAAGAAGTGTCTTTTGCTGTCTTCCTCACATCGCCCCAATACCTCCCATCCTGTAGGGCCAACTGAACATGGTAGAGACCATGTCTACTGTTTCTTTTGCAGTCCTGGGGATATAATACAGTATGAGGCACACAGTGGGTGCTCAGTAAATACTAATCAATTGAGTTTTAAGACACCTTACAGTTGGGTCAGTGTTGTAATTTGGAGAAGGTCCTTACAACGTGGCCCCTGGCACAGGATGATAAGCTGGCTTCTTCTTGTGCTACCACCTAGGGATAATGTCTGGAGTTCACCAAACTCTTATCACCAAAATTGGCTGTATGTTGCTGGGGTTTTAGGAGTCAATAAATAATACTCCTCTTTCCCACCAGAGTTTGGAACCAATTGAGAGTTAATCACAGAAGTCAGTCAGATGGACATTAGAGATTATTTATTATTCCCTTTTGTGTCTCCAGCTCCTAATGCAGATGTGGGTGTTAAACAAGTGTTTCATAAATGCATGAAATTGATTCATTGGCAGAACCTGTGTTAGATCATAGAATCCATTGCTGAAGCAAGAGGATGATGGGAAGAGCTTTCTCCATGGCTTTTCTTGTAGGCACTTAGAGGAGTCCAGAGACGTAAACAGGTGGGAGGCGCCAACGCAGGGAGCTGGAATAGCTGTGCACAAAGCACCTTGATGTTCATTAACTCTTTTCGTATTTACAATAGCACAGTGTGGTGGGGAGTGATGTTTAATCCAGTTGTGTAAATGAGGAAACCTTAGACTCACAGTAAGTTTGTACTAGAGCCTAAATAGATGGTCTTGGCTTCCAGTGTTCTTCATACTACCCCTCGTGGACTCTCAGTGCTGGTCAGTAAGGCACTGGTATACCTCCATGCGGCCCTCCCCAAAGAGCCCCTCACCACGTAAGGTTCCCTATAAACCATCGCCCATTCTCCTGCCCCCAAGGCTCCTCTCGAGGGGAGGGGCCCCACTGGACCCAGCTGCTTCCCCCAGTCCCTTTGGGAATTCTGGTGAATATATTTCTTCCATCTTGTTAGTTAGGCTATAAACCCTGAAAACACGCAGACATGCCATGTACTAGCACAGTTAATAACTCTAACTAAACCCCTATCGCACCCCATACACCCAAACCCGTCCACGGCTCCCAGACCTGGGTGAGCCTGAGCATCCAGGAGCATAGCATTCTACTGGAAAAGGCTTACTTCCTAGTACTTGTCTTCTTTAAGAACACCTAAGCTGGAGCAAAAATTAGATAATTCGTCATTGGTAAACAAGTGTTTCTTTTTTTTCTTTCTCAGAACAAAGATGGTCAGACAATAAAACTGTATTTCCCAAGGACCATAAAAAGCATGTTCTCCGGGCATCCAACACTGGAACCAAAAGCAATGACCCAACAGGAGGACCCCTACTTCCAGGTCTGGGATTTTGACTGTTTTGGAATTTGCCATTTGTGAAGCATGAGCAAGGAAAAGGATTTAGCTAAAAGGCCCTCCATGTTTTGTACTTTGCAATGAGTAAAATTATTCCTAGGCATTTGGCCAGCTTCTCCCTTGACCTTCAGCCTTCTGTGGTTCAACTTGTTCCTTCCATATTGAAACATTTTGGGGAAAAAAACCTCACTCCTGAGAAAGCCCGCAGAGCTCATATCACGATATACATCGTTATTTGTGATAATACAGGTATTGGTTTTCCAGTTTCAAAACTATTGCCAACTTGGCAAATATTAATAGAGGGAAGAGTTGCTGAATTCTGGAATCAATTCTTTCATTTTTTTCTTCCACAATTTTTTTTTCCCACACATACTAACTTTGTTATGTATCAGGGCTTGGTCAGGAAAACCTAATCTAAGTATTTGAAGCTTGCAAAACTCTTCAGGAGGCCAAGGGAGAGAGGTAGAGTTAAGAAAATCAGAAATGCTAGAATCTCAGACACTGGAACTGATGATCTCAGCATCTTGCAGCTCAAAAATGGCTAAATCACAGGAAGACACAGAGAAGCTACTGTTAGACCTCATGCTTCGTTATATCTGCTATACAGGGGCGATAATGACTACATCATTTCAACCTTTCCAATCTTGAGTAAGAGCCCCTCCTTTGCAGAAAATATCCTGTAGGATATAACTCTGCAGATAAGGATTCTAGAAATGTGGTTCCTAGGCTTCCACCTCCAGAGATGCAGGGAAAGCATAGAAAAGGAAAATAGAGTCAAGCTGCCAGTCAATAATCCAGCTCATATTATTTCCGACATCATTATCTAGGGTATTTCTATGATGCGTTTCTTCTTCTCTTTCAGGCATAATGCTACCATTACTACATGCGCTATTATCCATTCAGTCAGTATTTATCTTAGTCTGTTTGGGCTGCTGTAACAAAATACCACAGTCTGGGCGGCTTACAAACAACAGACGTCTATTTCTCACAGTTCTGGAGGCTGGAAGCCCACCATCAAGGCACCAGCAGATCCAGTGTCTGGTGAGAGCTCACTTCCCATTTTGTAGACAGCTGTCTCATCGCCATGCTCTCACATGGTGGAAGGAGTGACGGAGCTACGGGGCCTCTGTTACAAGGGCACTGATCCCATTGATAAGGGCTCCACCCTCATGACCTGGTCACCTCCCAGAGGCCCCACCTCCTAAGACCATCACATTGGATGTTAGGATTTGGCTATGGATTTGGGGGAGACATAAACGTTCAGCCTATAGCAACAGTCAATGAACACTTGCCCAGTGGTGCTTACTCTTGCCAGAGTTGGAGATACAGAGATGACCTAGCCCCTGAGAAGCTCAGAGAGTAAAGAGGGAGACAGTCCTGTAAACAGACATCTTGAAGCAGTGTGACGAGTGCTGTGATGGAAGGACAACCGAAGTGCGATGGTGGCGCTGAGGAAGGGCCAACTCTCTCTGGAGAAGCCCACTGAGGTTTCATATGGGTCGTGATGCTTGTCTGGGAAGAGGAAGGAGAATATTCCAGGCAGAGAAACCAAGATGTGCGAAGGCAGGGAGATGCCCCGGCAGCACGCAGCATGAGGACACGAAGGACTCCCTCAAGTCAGTTAGAAATGGATATTCATGAGGTGGAAACTGCTGGTGAAGGTGAAGCCTTTGGAATATTTGAAAATTTGTTTTATCGGAACCACCTACATTGTTTTGCCACCTCACACGCACACACACATGCACACCCATGCACGTGCACACACACGCACACACTATGGAATATGCCAACCCTTCAAGGGGTCCTTACTGTAGTGTTTCAAAGAGACTCGTTCATTAATTTAACCAATACAGTTGAGTACCTAATGTATAACATGCCGCCCTAGTGGTGAACAGGACAGAAGAGATCGCCACCCTCACGGACTTGGCATTCCAATAGGAGAGATGGACAGTAAACAAGTAAACAAATGTATAAGGTATTTCTCTGTGGTAAGTGCTAGGAAGAAAACAAATCAGGTAATGAGATGTGTAGGGATTGGCCATAGCCACTTTAGAGAATAGTCAGGACCAGACTCCTGAGGGGGTGATCTCTGAGCCCAGACGTAAGGGATGGGGCAGAGCCATCCACGCAGAGATGAGGAAGGGTGTTTTGGCAGAGGGGATAGTAAGGGCAAGGACCGGAAAGTGAGAATGAGCTTGATGCGGTCGAGGAGCAGAGAGAAGATCCACACGCTGGGGCACAGTGAGGGAGACGGCGAGGGCGTGAGAGGGCGCTGCAGCGTTGAGAGGACCAAGTCCTTCAGGGCTTTTAGGGTCAAGGTAAAGGCTAGAGCTTACTCCTAAAACATGGGAGGCCACTGAGGACTCTTATATGGGAGTAAATATGCTCTGCTTTTCAAATGCGTTTGTGTCAAAAATCACTAACCATAAACAAAAAATTATCAAATTGAACCTCATCAAAAATGTAAAAATCTGCTCATCAAAGACACCATTAAGAATATGAATAGCTAAGCCATAGACTGCGGAAAAGATTGGCAGAACATATGTCTGATTAAGAATTTGAATATATGAAGAATATATGAAGAACTCCTACAAGTTACCAGTGAACTCTGCCCTCTCCAAAAGAGACAACGGGCAAAAGACTTGAACAGATGGTTCACAAAAGAAGATCCACAGACGGCATGGGAGAATGGAAGTTAAAACCACCTACCAGAATACTGAAAACAAAAGGACTGACAGTGCCAAGTGTGGGCAGGGATGTGAGGCGACTGGAACTCTCATGCACAGCTGATAAGTGTGTAAAACGGTCCAGCCACTTTGGGAAACGGTGGCATTGTCCAATAAAGTTAAGCTTACGCCTCGTCCCAACAGTTCCACTCACAGGTATTTACCTGAGAAAAATGAAAACGTGTTCACAAAAAATATTGTACAAGAGTGTTCACAGCAGCCTTCAGTTCGTAATGGCCGTCGCCAGGAGAATGGATAAACAGACTGTGGTGTATTCATACAATGGAATGAATCGAAAGAGCTGATTAAAAAGAGTTAGCAGGAAACATTTTGGGGAGATGAAATGTTTCACGCTTTGCTTTGGATCCCGTGGTTCCCTAAGTACATACAATTGTGAAAAGTCATAACACTGCACGCCTGATATCTGAGCACTTTATTGCATAGGAATTATACCTCAATAAAAAAATGCATGTTTTTTAAGAAATGTGTGTGTGTCCTGCCTTGAACTGTCAAGGTGTCTTTGTGGCAGAGTAGAGAGGGTCAGATCTGGAGTCAGACACACCTGGGTCCAATCCAGCTGACTGATGAAGGACCCTGGGCAAGTCCTTAAGTTTTTTTCAGTTCCCACCTCTGCAAATAAAAATAATCTCATTCACAAGATGACCATAAGGATTAAATGAAAAATTTATGTCAAAGTGTCCAACTCGGTACCTGTCACCTCCAGGTTCTCAATAAAATTAGCTGTTTTTAAAAATTGTTTAAAATAAACTGTAAGGGGCCCACACTAAAAATACATATTGTTCTGCTTTGCAAATGATGCCATATGCAACTTCAGACAAAAATTCAAAACTCAGAAGGAAAAACTGGAAAACAATAAGTTAAATCGCTCTGCTATGTGCAGGAGCCTGTGGACACAGCTGGTAGCTATCAATTACTTGCGATTATTACAGGAAAATCTGGCACCTTCTGTGATCATACACAAATCTGTCATCATCAGGCCCTACCTCATCTTTTTACCAAGTGTCAAAAGGGAAGGGCAAGGCTGTTTGGAACAGGGACGAAAATGAAAAAGCTATGATTACTGGAGGTGGTCAGCTTCAACGTTTGTAAAGGAAACCCCTGTTTTTACCTTTCCAGATGTGTCCATGACAAATTATATATGCAGTTTCAAGACTAATCTGAAGTTTAGATTAAGAATTAATGGAAAAGTAAGAATGGAACTGAAATGCATCTTTACCCTTACTGCTTAATCCCTGGGCTCTGCTAAATCATCTCTCGTTCCTCTGCCTGATCCACATTGGAGAAACAGGACCCTTCGGACATCCCCTGGAGAGCCCTCCTCTCCCGGGCTCTTGGCTCTGCTTGGGGGATGCTGAGGAGGCAGCCCACTGCTTGGAGTGCCTCCTCCCTCGCTCTGGGATTTCTCTGGCAGATCCAGCTCACCTACAATAGCCCCTCTCCCAGGCTGTGGTCCAAGGGCCCAGTTCTGGCCGCCGTTCCCACCAGTTATTACAACAAGTTAGTTGAAGGAAAATGAGATTTAAAGTGCACCCTCGTGCTACGTGATGGCTTTCTCTCAGTGTGCTACTTAGAGAACCAGGCAGGCAGCTCACCAGAAAACTGCTCTCAGTGGTCTTCGGCCCTGTCCTCTCCAGCCCATCATCGTTTCTCATTCAGGGCTGTCATGACCTTTCATTTCCTTTCTGCAGAGCCTGTCTGGGAGCTCGGTAACTGGACACGGTGTTCTGCCACCTGTGGCCACCTGGGAGCCCGCATCCAGAGACCCCGGTGTGTGATGGCCGATGGGCAGGCAGTGAGCGAGGCCCTTTGTGATCCCCTCCAGAAGCCGCTGGCCGGGTTTCAACCCTGTAACGTCCGGGACTGCCCCTCGAGGTAGGTGCAGCCACTCTTCTGACCACATCAGCACCATGTCTCTGCTTGCCTCAAGGGCAGCAATGTGGACGTAGTCACTCTATCGTTGAGATTTATTTAGCATGTACTTTGAGCCAGGCGTTCTGCAAAGCGCTTTACGTGGATCATTTCACAGTCACCGTGAGCGGGATGTTGTTAGTTTCCTATTTTACAGATGGAAAAGCTCCCCTAAGCCACATGCTTACAGGGGCCGGGATTCAAGTTGAGATTGTCTGTCTTCAGGGCCTCTGCTGTCAGTCGCTCCCAGGTCTGCCTCCTGCATTCACGGCGCTTTCTTTTCCTCACGAGCGTGGTGAAGCCGATTTCATGGGTTTACCCAGGAGATGGTGCAGTGGGCCAGAATCACACGAGGCACTAGTTACACACACAGTTTCCTAGACTCCACTCCTGGAGGTAAAGCCATCGATAACCTTTCTATGTAGCAGATGATGCAAATCAATATTAAAAAAGTCCAAAATTGGATTTGCAGTCTCCACCAAGCCCAACCGTCCCGTGTCCCAGGTCTCAGTGACTGCATCCTGGACTCCCCTCTTCTCTCACCTCCATCCGTTCTTGTCAGTTTCCGTGTCACCACCGGAGTCCGAGCCCTCGTCGTTTCTCGCATGGCCCACTCCAGCCCTCCTGGTCCTTGTCTCCCTCCAAGAGTGCTTTTTCCACTCTGCAAGCAGAGCCATCTTTTCGAACACAAATTCATCACGGTGCTCCTCTGTTTAAAACCCTTCACTGACTTCTCCTTGTTCTTAGGAGGAAGGCTGAAATCCCTGGTGTCAGGGTGTCTCTCTTGTTCATTTTTTTACCCCCGTGTCTCAAATAGTGCCTAGCACATGATGGGTGCTCATAGACATTTGCTACCTGCCCGAGTCCGTGCGTGAAGGAGTAGCCGTCCCTCTGTGCGGGGCCTCAGCCTGTGTCCTGTCTCGTTGCTGGTCTCTCCCACCCTGGCTGTCTGGTCTCCATCCACACTGGTCTTTTTTGTCCCTTAGATGTGCCCTTCTCTCTTCTGACTCAGAGACTTCGCACATGCTGCTCCCTCCACCTAGAACACTGTTCCCTCTCCCTTCACTCAGTTATTCTTACCTATTTATTTTCAGGGAAGCCTTCCCTGGCCTTAGTCCTCCAAACCAAATCGGGCCCTGCTCTCTATGTTTGATAATATTTCCTTATCATTCTTTTTAATAGCTCTTCCCACAACCCATGTGTCTTGCTCTCCCACTGGACTGTCAGTTCTATGAGAGTCAATCCATGGCCGTTTTCCTCAATATTTTATCCCCAGCATTTAACGCGACGTCTGTCCCCTTATGCACGCTCTGAAAATGTTTGTGAAATGAATGAACGAATGATTGAATAGCATAGACCCTAGCAGACGGCTGACCAGATGGCACCAAAATCCACAGTGAACAAGTCTAACAAATAATAGTAGCATTTATTGAGCACAGGCCTGTGAGGCAGACACTGTTATCACCCCTTTTCACTGAGGAGAAGATGGAGGCACACTTCTCACTGCACGGCTCGGCCTCTGTGCGGTGTCCACGCTCGGTCCATTACCTGCGTCCTGGAAGAGGGCGGCAGGCAAGTCACACTGGGAAACAAAAGAGATGCTTTGGAGCGTGTTCTTAGAAGGGCGTGGACGCTGCAGGTGCCTGACCCCATGTCTGCTGTACCCACTGCGTTCTTCAGAGGAAGATCTGTGCGGTCACCATCCCTCTGGAGGCAGCAGACCGACACGACAATGACCAGGGAACTCGGTCCAAGAAAACTGCTCTGTGTCGACTCTTGATTCTCACAAAGTGGAGAGAACCCACGTTGGGAGATCTATCAGCAGCCTTGTTTACCAAATATTCTCAAGCCTTTGCAGATCCCTAGGATAAACGGAGTCACACTTTCATACCTGGAGGAGACAATGGAGGTCGTCCAACCTGGATCCCTCTGCGTCGGGGTCCTGCACGCTTCTGTGCCATGGACCTCACTTCTGGTTGGGCAAAGCCTGTGGATCCCTTCGCAGAACAAGGGTTTTAAATCTGTAAAATAAAATATATTTGATTAGAAAGGGAACCAATTATACTGAAATACCACTACTGAATATCAAAAGATGTGTGGTATAATAGATTTGCTTCTTTATTAACACTAAGTAATAAGATCTGGTAGTATGTTAATTTTGAAGTGGTGATGAATATAAATAATACTTTGAGATTCCTGCCACAATTGTAATGTCCTGTGAAAATATCTGTGATTTCTATTGGTAAGGAAACAACAGGTAACGCTAATACTACTGCCTGTGTTTTGTGGCCGACATTTTTATAATCGAAGGAAATACTAATAGTATTTCCTAATTCTAACTGAATACTAAATTAGAGCCTAGTGACAATGAAGAGGTAGTTCTTTTCCCATCCGAGTCCGTGATCCCTTTGGAGAACCGCAGACCTCAGGCAGGGGCCCCGCTTTGCTGTGTCCCAGCGGCAGCTCGAACACTTTCAGTGACAGACAACGTCTCAGAGGAGCCCAGTCCCGAGCTCAGTCTCCTGTGATCATTAAAGTGTGACCTTCGGGTCAGATAAATCTAGAATCCAGTTCCAGCGCAGTTGACATGTTAGTCATGTGACCACAGACAAGTTGTTTCACCCCTTGGACAATGGTTTCTTCCCCACGAGAATGGGGATAACATGAGAACTCCGTTAAGATAACATGTAAATATCTCGCCAACAGCGCACAGGTGCTTTAAAAATATTTTCTTCCCTTTGGTTTCAATGAGTTGAAATCCACCTTTTTAAAATTTCCCCCTAAGTTTACCCTAACTCCACTCTCGGGGGCCACATGAGTGGCAGCTCTTACCTCCTTGATGACGGCTTTGCACACCTGCTATACTGGTGTCTCTGCATGGCGGTTCTGCCGCTCCCCTGAGTAAAACAAAACCCGAGAACAAGGCTGGGAGTTATCTGTGCTGCCGCCGCTTCCCATAGAGACCCATGATGGCCCCAAAACAGTCACGATGTCGGGATCAGCTTTTTCTTTGGAGGCCCCGCCCTGCAGGGTCTGAGGCGCCCATCCTCACGGAGCTCCTGTGGCTTTGCTCCTAGGTGGTCCACGAGCGCGTGGTCCGAGTGCTCTGTGTCTTGCGGTGAAGGATCCCGCAGTCGGCAAGTGACCTGCAAGCGCACAAGAGCCAACGGGACTGTGCAGGTGGTGTCTCCACGAGCATGTGCCCCCAGGGACAGGCCTCGGGGGAGGAGAGCGTGCACCAGTCCGCCGTGCGTTCAGTCGCCCGCTGGACCAGGGGACCAGGTAAAGCCGACAGATCTGACGTTTTGACGGTACTATAATCATCACCTTGCTTCTCATATATTTTTTTCAATTGTGGGGAAAAATCTGATTGGCCTCTAAAATGAATGTGTGTGCCTGACCTCAAGGATGACACTGGGAAGTCACAGTGTCTCTTCCTCCAGCACAAAGCTAAATCAAGGGTGGGTCCTCCTCCTGCAGCAGCTCAGTAACAGAAGCTCCAAGATAGACTGGTTTGGGGCAGGAGGACCAAGAGTAGGTTCGAGAGAAGGAGCAAAGGAACATTAGTAACATGTGCACAAAGTCTCAGAACCACATCCCTAATGCCACCGTCAGTGATATTATAATAAAAAATATTGAGGAAGAAATTCATAGGAACCCATATCAGTCTGCTGGGCTGCCATAACAAAAGACCACAGACTGGGAGCCTGAAACAGCAGAAATTTATTTCTCACAGTTCTGAGGCTAGAAGTCCCAGGTCAGGTGCTGGCGGTGTTGGTTTGGTGAGACTTCTCTCTCTCTGGCTCGTAGACGGCTGCCTTCTCACCAGGTTATCACCTGGCCTCCTCTCTGTGAATACAGAAGGGGAGAGATTTCTGTGTCTCTTCCTCCTCTTATGAGGACACTGTCCCTGTCGGATTGAGGCCCTGTCCTTAGGACCTCTTTTAACCTTGAATGCCCCCTAATAGACCCTGTCTCCAGATACTGTCACATGGATGGTTTAGGGCTTCAATGTATCAATTTTGAGGGGACATGATCTGGGCCATAGCATTTCACCCTCTGGCCCCCCAAAACTCATGTCCTCCCCACATGCAAAATACATTCACCCCATCCCTGTACCGCCAGGAGTCTATCCCCGTCGCACGTCAGTTCCACGTCCAGTCTCACTGAGTGTCACCTGAATCAGGTTTGGGTGGGAAATGAGTCATCCTGAGGCTGAATTCCTTTCCTGCTGTGAACCTATGAAACCAGACAAATTGTGTTCTTCCAAAATCCGATGGTGGGAGAAGCACAGGCTGGACATTCCCATTCCAAGAGAGAACTCAGGAAGAAGACAGGGGCGATGGGTCTCAATCAAGTCCCAGACAGAGCAAGGCTGATTCCACTAGATCTTAAGGCTCAGGAATAATCCTCTTTGGCTTGATGCTCTGCCCTCCAGACCCACTGGGGTGCCGGCATTGCCCCCGCCCTGGGCAGCGGCCTCACCCACGCGGCTCTTTGGAGTGGCCCTGCTCCTGAAGCAGTGGGTGTGGGCAGCTTGGCCTCTGAAATTGAGGAGGGCCACGCTCTGAGACTGAGGAGGACACGGCCATGCCCCCTGGGCCTGGAGTGGGAGGGGCAGCCCTGATGATCACTGAGTCATCTTGGCTTGCTGTTCTTAAAGGACAGAGCATGTTTGCAGCTGAATAGCTTTGTCATCCTGTCCTATAGAATCCCAGAAGCCCCCAAGCCTTCCCTCCCTGTGTCTGTCTCTGTTCCCTTTGGTCCAAACCAGCCGTCTCCTTGCTGGTATAACCCTGTCTCTACTCCTGGCTTCTGCTGATGCTGATCCACCCCATGGTGATCTCCTCATGGACGGATTGCCCAGCCCACCCTTCCTGCTCTCTCCAGAAACACCTTCTCGTTTTTCAGAATACGGATGGACTGAGAATTTTCCAAACCTTCAAGTTCCGGTTCCTTCTTCTTAACAATCCCTTCACTTTCTCTCCTTGTGTTGTACTGTCGAGAAAAGCCAGGGTGCACCTTGAAGTCTTTGCTGAGAAACCTCCTCGCTGAAATTTCCAGTTTCATCCCTTGCAAGCTCCACCATCCACAAAACTCCACAACACGGTTCAGCCGAGCTTTCTGCCACTTCACGATGAGGGCTGCCTTTCCTCCAGTTTCCTGTAGTGTGTTCCTTGTTTCCACTGAAATCTGTTTCCACCAACATTTCCTTCAAGGCAGTCTAGGCTTTTTCTGGCACGCACCTCCAAACTCTTCCAGCCCTACCCATCGCCCAGGTCCAAAGCCACGTCCATGTTTTAGGTGTTTGTCACAGCAGCAGTCCACTTCTCAATACCCAAATCTGTGTATCTGTGTTAGTCAGGGTCCTCCAGAGAAACAGAACCAATATAGTGTGTGTGTGTGTGTGTGTGTGTGTGTGTGTAATGAATCTCTTTACACATATGTAGATTTATTAGAAGGCATTAGCTCATGCAGTTAGGGAGGTTGACAAGTCCAGGAGCTACAGGATGAGTGAGTAAGCTGGAAATCTAGGAGAGCTGATGGTCTAGTTCCAGCCCAGAGGCCAGCAGGCTCCAGACCCAAGAAAAGCCAGTGTTTCAGTTCAAGTCCAAAAGCAGAAAAAGACCAACATCCTAATCCAGTCAGGCAAAAGGAATCCTCTCTTACTTGGGGAAGCTCAGCCTACTAATTAGATGAGGCCCACCCACATTAGGGAGAGTAATCTGCTTTCTCCAAACTACTGATTTAAATGTTAATCTCATCCAAAAACATCCTCACAGAAACATCCAGAATAATGTCTGACAAAATATCTGGGAATGTCATGGCCCAGTCAAGCGGACATGTGGAATTAACCATCTCAGAACCCATACAGAAAAATATAATACATTATTGAAACACATAAGGAAAAGTTGAACAAAGAAAGGTACTTTCAGTAATGTAAAGATGTCCATTCCCGTAAATGAACTGAAACATGTAATATAATTCCAATTAAGATTATAGTAGAATTCTTTTTTGAAATTTAGGGTAGTTCTGACATTCATATGAGAGAATAAATGAGGACAGAAAATTTTTAGAAAAACAAATTATGAGAGGTGTGGAGGGACCTCCCATCCACTTGGACATGAAAGCACGCTGTAGAGCTGCTGTAGGGAAAGTGCAGCTTTACTGCAGGAATGGACATGAGTCATGGAGTATAATTAGAGCACAGAAACAGCCCCATGGTAAATGGGGTTAAAGTTCAAAGGCGGTAAATCATAGGGGGAAGAATGGTTTAAGAATAGACCGTATAAAACTACAGAAGGTTTTTTAAAGAAGTGAAAGAAGATCTAAATCAATGGACAGACCCCCCCCCCCCCCCCGCCCGGTGTAGGAATCAGAAGACTTAATATTGTTAAGGTGACAACACTCCCCAAACTGACTTACAAATTCAACACAAAATCCCTATCAAAAGCCAAGCTGGCTTCTTTGCTGAAATTGACAAACTGATCCTAAAATTCGAATGGAAATATAAAGGACCCAGAATAGCCAAAACAATCCTGAAAAAGAACACAGTTGGACGGCTCAGACTTCCTGATTTCAAAACTAACTACAAAGCTATAGTAATCAAGACAGTGTGGTACTGGCATAGGATAGACGTAAGGATTGATGAGATATAACTGAAAGTCCAGAGATGAATCCACATGTCTATGTCAGCTGACTTTCTACAAGGGCGACAAGACCATTCAACGGGGAACCAGTAATCTCCTCGAGAAACAGTGCAGGACAACTGGACGTCCACATACAAAAGGACAAAGATGGTCTCCTAGCTTACACCATATGCAAAAATTTAACTCAAAATGGATCAAAGACCTAAATTGAAGAACTAAAACTGTAAAACTCTTAGAAGAAAACATAGACATAAATCTTCATGTCTTGGATTAGAAAATGGTTTCTTAGATATGACACCAAAAACATAACCTACAACAACAACAAAAGTAAATGACACCGAAAAATAAATGACACCAAAATTAAAACCTTTTGTGCTACAATGGACATGATCAGGAAAGTGAAGAGACAACCTATAGAATGGTAGAAAATAATTAAAAATCATATATGAAAAAGAACTCGTGTCTATAATATGTAAACAACACAGCTCAATAATAAAAACACAAATAACCCAATTAAAATGTTGCCAAGGCATCTGAGTAGACATTTGTCAATAAAGAGGTACAAATAGCCAACAGGCACATGAAAAGATGCTCAACATCCTTAGTTATTAGGGAAATGCAAATCCAAACCAAGTGAGACACCACTTCACACCCAGTAGCGTGCCATTCATCAAAAAGAGAGGGAGTAACCAGTGCTGGTGAGGATATGGAGAAACAGGAACCTTCACACACCGCTAGGGGGAATCTAGAATGGTTTAGCCTTGTTGGAAAACAGTCTGGCAGTTCCTCAAAAGGTTAAACAGACAGTTACCATGTGACCCGACAATTCCACTCCTAGGTGTATACCCAAGAGAAACGAGAACATGCATCCACGCAAAAACTGGTGCATGAGTTTCCATAGCAGCGTTATTCCTAATAACCAAAAAGTGGAAACAACTGGTGAATAAACAGATTGTTTGTACAATGGAATATTATCTGGCCATTCAAAGGAATGAAGTGCTGATGTGTATTACAATGTGGATGGACCTTGCAGACATTCTGGTGAGTGAGGGCAGACAGACACAAAGGACCACAGACTGTAGGAGGCCGCGTGTATGAAGTGTCTGGAATAGATCAATCTGTAGAGACGAAAAGTAGATGAGTGGTCGTCGAGGCCGTGGGGGAGAGGCCATGGGGGAATGGGAGTCACTGCTCAAGGGGTGGGGTTCCTTTGTGGGGTGATAACCATGTTCTAAAATTGATCGTGGTGATGGTTGCACAACTCTGAAGACCACTGAATTGTACACATTAAACGGTGAGTTGTATAGCATGAGAATTATATCTCAATAAAGTCCTTAGCAAAAAAACAATAGTCTGAGGGAAATTGGTTAACTAATGTAAGAAGAATGCCTAAATCAGAGCCCTGACTCAAAGCAGACACCAAATGGAATTCTGACTTGATTAAAGCACTCGATGTAAAAGTAGTTAAACTGAAGTCAGACTATCATGACGGGAAGACCTTTTCAAGCATAAAACAAATTATAAGGAAGAATTAATGGGTATAATGACCACATAAAAGTTTAAGAATTGCAGTTCAAAACACATTTTCCTATAACTGAACTCACCATCACACACAAGCCTGCGTTTTTGCTCAGAGTGGGAAAACCCAAACTTGGCTCATGGTTTCAAGCGTGGTCATTTCTGGACCTAAGCCAAACCGGTGACAGATTGACCCTGTCCTTCTCCCTTCTCCCCGAAGGTGTTCTGAGTTTCTGGGGGCAAAGGGGGGAAGAGGAACTTAGGAATCTTCCCGGCTCTGAGGCAGGGCAGTCTGGTCCTCAGCGCTGTGCTCCCATCCTCCCTGACGCCCCCTGGGGACAGCTGGCCCCTGTGGCTGGTCTGTGACAACCCCGCCTCAGTGCGTGGTGTTGGCAGCACAGCAGGCTGGGCTCGCAGGGCTGTTCACACTGTTGTGCTCTGGTTCCAGTGTCCCGGACGCTGCCTGGGCCGTGCTGGGAGGACGCAGCGCCATCTCGTCGTCTGTCAGCACCACAACGGCTCTGACTCCGGCTGTGAGGACAGGAGGTACTGGCCCCGCCCTAGGGCAGCACCCAGCTCTCCTGCCTCAGTCCCCGCCCAGGACTGCGCGGAAGTAGAATTACTCTACCTGTCCACCACCTCGCGTAATTGACAATGCCTAGGAAATTATGGTTTCTTATAGCGCCGTCCTCAATAGTATACATTATACTGAAATATTAATTAATATGTACTACTTATGATTACAAATTATTTGGATGTTATGCATATAGAGAGAGGCACCCCAAAGAGAAAAAAGGGGCGCATTGAGAAGAGACAGATGTTTTCCTGTATATACAAAGTTGGTCAAGCCTAACAGTATTTGGTTTAGGTTCAGATTAAATCTCCCTGATGTTTTCAATGAGCTACTTTATTCCTCTTTAGAAGCGTAGGCTGAGGATGCTGGTAGAGTGGTCCAGCAGAGAATAAAGTAAACCTTTATCCTGGTGAGGGGCTCCAGCAAGGAGGGGCTTTGCTTTGCTCTTGTATAAAAGTCGGAGCTGGTTGACGGCTCAAGGGTAAAGAGCTTTGTTCCGTAAGCTCCCAGGGACCCAGACTCCTTCCACCTGGCGACTCCACCTTCCCAGAGGAGCATGCCCCAGCCCACAAAGTGAGGAGCGAGCCCAGAGGGCATGCCATGAGGGGCTTTGCAGGTCTCCCGCTCTCTGATTGCATGACCGTGGAGCCTCTAACCTCCTAATCTGCAAAATGGGGTGTGATCGTCCATGGGAAATTATAGGCGGGGAGTTTTGATAGTTAGCTCCGTGTGAGGCTAACGTGGGTCTTAGATGCTCAATACATGGCTCTTTCTTCCTCCTCCACATCTGAGTCTTGCTGGAGAAAATGAGATGACCTTGGCATTGGCTCATTTGCCATTTTGAGCCTTCAGTAAGGTTTGGCAATGGCATTTCCTATTCCCCACAAGACAATTCCAGCCAGAATACTTCTCCTCAAAGGGAGAATGTTTGGAACAGCTGCCCTCATCCTCGACAGGCAACCGGGGTTCCTTCACTGAGAAGATGGAGACCACACACAGATGGACATGCATCAGCCCAGATGTTTTACTTTGCATTCTCAAAGCTGTGTTTACAACACAAACACATACGTGGATTGAGTATTCTTTTTAACATACCAGACATATAGTTCTGAAACTTATTCCTACTTATCAATACATTATAGGCTCATTTCCTATCTTGGTACCTAAGCTTCACCTTATTCTTTTTAACTGTTGTATTTAATATTCCTCATTCCATTGCTGATGGTCATTTGCTTGTTTCAAATGTTTTGCTATTACCAGCAAATGCTGCAGTAAACATCCTGGGACGTATCTTTATTCTCAAAAGGCAATATTCTTATAGGACAGATTTTAGATATGGAATTGAATTGACAGGCATGTTCATTTTGATATTACTAAATTACCACCAAAATGTCTCAACCAACAATGTATGAGAGTCCCCTCTTTTTCAACAACATTAATAGGTTTTCAGTCTTAAAAATTTTACCAATCTGATGGATGAAAAATTATATCTTATTGTAATTTGTACTTTTCTGATTATTTTTATATGCCTTTTGGCTCTGTGTAATTTTTCTCAAACCCATCCGCTTTTTTCCGTCTCTACCACGATTACGTTTGGACAGGCCATCCACCTGGTCTCCGAACACCTGTGCTCCTTTCCAAGCCAGTCTCCACACCACAACCAGAGTAACCTCCCCAGAACACAGATCTGATCACCCCACCCCGACACCCCATCTCCCTGCTGGGTTAGTATCACTTTAGAGGCTTCGCTTGGTCTTAGGAAGAAGATTGACCCCGATCCCTAACGTGCCCTGTGGAACACTGCACGGTCGAGTCCTGCCTCCCTGCACAGCCTCGTCCCAGACCTCGCTCTCCCTCAGCCTCGTGTCCCAGCCACGCTGTCCTTCTCTCAGTTCCTCGGATGTGCCGTGCACGTTCCTGCTAAAAGCAGCAAAACAAGAGACGGAAATAATGGAGAAGGGAGAAGGCATGGAGGGGTCTATCAGGAGGGTCAACGTCTGATTAAGAGCAGTTTTAGAAAAAGAGACACGGAAATGAAACGAAGGGGCGGAAAGTTTTCAGACATAATATAGAAGAAAAGCTCCTAGAGCCAAGAGGAAAGAGTCTAGCTGCCTTTCATTTTCTCCATCATTTCTGTTCCCTCTGGAGTGGCTGTTTGTTTTTACATCCTGGTGCTTTTCTTCCATGCTGTCAATTTTCCTCAAATATCTGGTGGTTCACGAGGAAGGACTGAGTTTGTCTAGAGAGCGACCGTGGGTTTCTTGGGCAGTTTTTTGGTCCACTTTTCCCACAGACCAGTTCTGCTGACTTGCGTGCTGTCTGTGGGCTCGCTGAAGTAGGTGAGGTCCTCGGGGTCCCTTCACAATGTGCGGAGAGGGAGCAACGGACAGGCTGGAGGACCCGCCCCCGACCCCATCCCCTGCCATAATAGGGCCTCATAAATGTCAGGGGGTGCTTCAGAGGGAATCGCATCATTGACCGCCATGGCAGAGGCTCAGTGGTGAGAGGCTGGAGGACCCCCCACCCCAGCCCCTGCCATAGTAGGGCCTCATAAATGTCAGGGGGTGCTTCAGAGGGAATCGCGTCATTGATGGCCATGGGCAGAGGCTCAGTGGTGAGAGGCTGTCCAGCAGCCTCCTCTCCAGGCCCTGGGAAGGGTGAGCGTGGCGCTTCCCTTGGACAGGGTGACAGAGGGAGTGGGAATTACCCAGGTGGGGCTAGGCCACACTTATGGCAAGAAGACGTCCTGAGGACCTGAGGAAAGGCCTTAGGACACAAAGAGTCCGTTCCCCAAGGCAGTGATTCCTGACCTTAGCTAAGAGTCAGGATTACCTGGGAAGTTTCTTAAAAATAAAGATTCTTGGGCCTCTACTCGGACTTACTGAATCTTCGGGAGCGGAGCCTGGCGATCTACATCTTCTTAGAGCTGCTCGCTTGCTCCTGATAACCAGCCAGGATTGGAATCTGCGGCCCCACAGAGTCAGTGGTTCCATCTGGCTGATGGCGACAGGGCCTGTTGGAGGTGGGACTGGAGCCAGAAACTGAGAAAGACCAGTAGAAACAGGGTTACTTCAAGATTTCCACTGCCGAATCGACTTTCCTGTAGAAAACACATGAGCCCCATGGTGTGCATAGTGCCAGTGCCCAGACTGTGTCCCTCTGGCTCTGGCGTCCCCATCCCCAGTCCTGTCCCCAGCCAGGAGGAAGTGATGCCCTCTGCTGGACTGACCTCGTGTCTTTTACTAGGTCCTCAATGACCAGTCTGAGCTGTCTTGGGCTTCAGCTTCTATGATGGTCTCTAGCTCCCTAAGCCACCTCATCTTTCATATTTAGGAAACTCAGTGGTTCCTTCTGACTTCCCATTGGCTCCACCTTCTATCGAAACAGAAGAAAACAGAAGAAGGGACTGTATTAGTTAAGGTCCTTTGGGCAGGAAATGACAGAAATCAACTTGGAATGATTTATGCAAAGAGGGCCAGAGATTTATTAATAAGACAGGACCACTCTACATCGGTGCCTAACAATTTGGTATCCTTTTAAATATATTCTTTGTTCTTTGCATCCTCAAACTTTTTCTGTAGAAAATCTGATCTGTGCATAGGGAGATGGCTGAGGAGTGCTCAGTCTCTGCCCTGTTGTCCAGAGCAACTCAGCTTTTGGCCCCAAAGATGCACACCCAGTGGGGAAAACGAAAGCCCTGCAGTGAAGAGGACACCCTCCCCACCCCTTATAAATCCTCTACACGTTTGGTGCGACAGTACTAAGGAAACCCTTTGATGGAGTCTCCCCCTACTGGCCACTCAAAGTATTGCTTCCAACTGTGTGTAATTCTAGACACTTCGGGTGTCACAATATTCTCCATCCTATGACATTTCCAGCGGTGTTTCAACACTCCTTATAGATTATGTGCCTGGTGAGTAGCCTTTTATAGGAATGCAAAAATGTTTCCAGAATCCAGAGGGAGGATGCGGTCAGACCTCAGGAAGGACTGTAACCAAGAAATCAGAAGGCGTCAGGATGCTTCTCTCCTCCCAGCTCTGCAGCTCTGTGCGTTTCAGCTTCACTGTTCTCTCTTCTTAAATATTATTCTTCTCCTTCTCTGGCCCGAACAGCAGAACTTGGGCACCACTGCTCCAGCCTTCAGCTTTAGGCGTCTTGTTCAGCAACCCCCAGATTCCTGGGAGGAAGAGGATTACTGAACCAGCTCAGTGAGGGCCTCTGCCCGTCACCTCTTGGTGGGGACACCTTCTCCTGGAGTACAAATGTGTGTTCCAGGAGCCCTGCCCCAGGAACAAGGGCAGACGCTCCAAAGCGGGTCCCATCAGGGGCTCCACCCTTCGCGGTACATATGTTTTCAACCATCAGAGGGCATTAACTTTCTGATCTGTTTTAAAGGGGAAGGAAACCAGAGACAGGCCTCTAGAGGGTCTTGTAGGCTCTGGCTGTGACCCACCGTGTGGCCTAAAGAAGACGCAGGAGCCCTTCTCTGGCAGACGGACCTGCTCATGCACACACTCATGCTCGTGCACAAACTCATGCTCGTGCCAGAACCGGTTTCAAGTGCTCCTACATTCGAAACTTAAAGTTTGTTCACAGATGTGAAGTGATTCACTGTGGGTCCTCCTCCTTGGCTGAGTTGATCTGCTCCAGCTCATGGGGACACCGCATCCTCTAGGGGTGCGCCTGGCCCTGGCTCTGGGAGTCGTGGACTCGCAGGCTCGCTCGCCTCTGTTGCGGCCGCGATTGCCCCACCACGTTGCTAGTCAGCCGTGAACAAGGGCAGTCAGCGTCCTGACGAGTAGGGTCCTAACTGTCACACGTTTAGTGTGTGGAAGCTGGATCCCAGCAGCAAGTGACGCCGCTGCCTTCCTGTTTTGTGCTTCTCCTTTCAGGCCCGCCGTTGGGAGGGGCTGCTCGGCGGGGGCCTGTGACGCGTGCTGGCGCCCGGGCCCCTGGCGGCGCTGCCCCGCGGCCTGCGGCTCCCGGTCCCGGAGGGTCGACTGCATCCGCGCGCGGAGCTGCGCCCCGGTGGCCGCGAGGCGCTGCGCGCAGGGAGAGAAGCCCGCGTCCCGGCGGCGCTGCCTCGGGCCCCCCTGTGACAGTACGTACCCCTCGCGGGGACCACGGCCGCCCGCAGCCCGTCCCGCCAGCCCCGCGCGCCCGAGGGCCGTTCGGAACGGACGCGCTGGCCGGGCCGCCAGATTAGCCGCCTGGATGCGGGCGCAGCCCCTTGTTCCTTAGAGGAGAGACAGGTGGATTCGAGGGGTGTCCGCGCCCCGGGTTGTGCCTCTGCACGGCCTCCCCTCTGCCTGGGAACCTCGTCCGCCGGGCCCGGGGGTCCGAGGGTGGGACTGCGCGGGGGCGAATGTCCTGAGTTGGGTGTCAGATTTCATCATAAACGCATTTCTCTAGGGAGCAGGCCCCCAGCTTTCTTAAGCTTTCCAGGGGTCCTGACCCTCCCGAAGCTGACACCGCTACCCCAGCACCTGCAGGAGCGGCCTGGCCCGAGGCCGTGGGGTCCCGGGGAAGGCAGAGGCGTCGCCAGCCGAGAAGGAGTCGGCGCCCTCTGGCTGGGGCGCAAGGCCGTGGCCCTGCTCAGAGCCCGGTTTCCTCGCTTCACCCTGTGACCTCAGGTTACGCTTGTCAGGAAGTCACAGGGTTCTTTCAGCTAGGTCTCTGATGACCTGTGTGATGAGTGGAGATATATGTTGTTATTTTATTTTCTGCAGGAGACTGCACAGACGCCACACACCGCTGCATGTTTGTCAAGCATCTCAATTTGTGTTCGCTAGGCGTCTACAGACGGAGGTGCTGCCGGTCATGTCAAGAAGGATAAACCTTTGGAGGGGTCCTGATGCTGCTGTGAAGATAAAAGAAAAATGTAAAAGCTCTTTTTCCCATGCTCAGAAACGTGCATTTCTTCCAAACTCTAGATTCTGCGATGGGAGGTGGATGCAACATCACCAGCGTTCAGCTCTTGCAGCATCATTTTCCCGCGGCCGGCTGTTAATTCCGACTCTTTCCATGATGTGCTCGAGGACTAACAAAAATGCCGGGGCGCGTGGGCCCTCACCGCGTCCTTGTGATGGGGAAGCACGAGGGGGCCAGTGCCTTGTCAAGTGCTGCTGCTTCCTGTGGCTTGTAGCCTCCTACAGAGAGGGCCTCCTGAAGACCTGGGGACACACAGCAGCTGACTTCCCCCCTCAAGGTTTAGGGTTTCGACAGGCTCACGAGGCATCTACGCTTCAGAAGCTCCGGCCAGTAGTTGTGACGGTGTTGGCACTAACGGCGTTTTCATGGATCCTTGAGTTCCATCTGTGAAAGAGACAGTCACTCTGGACAGGCTTGTGACACTGACTGGTCCAGGGACGTGGCGGGTGGCGCCTGTCCTTGCTCTGAGGGAACCCATGGGAGAAAACGCAGAGTAGATGTTGCTGCCATTTTCACAACTACGGAAATCGATCTGTGACCAAAGGAGGCGCCCTGGAAACCACAGGAGAGGGAAAGTTAACCTTTTCTACTGATTTTGGAGTCTATTCAAAGCTTTCTTTTAAGAGCTGTGAATGAAAACTTTTTCTAAGCACTATTCTCTTGCACACAAACACAAAATCAAAGCCTTATTAGACCTAATTTATGCATAAAATAGTATTCCTAAGGATTTTTATTTTGGAAAAATTATAAGAAAGTAATCTAAATATGAAACCTGATAGCTAAAAAGAATTGTTTATAGTAAATAATTGTTTTGATTTGAACTGATTTTTCGGTAAATCCGAAGTGAATTAGGGTCAGGCTGGAAGTTGCAGTTAGGACTGGGGGTGAGAGTTAGGATTGGGTGACAAGTTCAGGATTAGGATTCGGTTAGTGAGAACGGAAGTTCAGTTAGGGTTGAGGCTAGAGTTGGCTATCGGGTTAGGGTTAGGTTTAGGGTTAGGGTTAGGGTTAGGGTCAGGGCCAGGTTAGGTCAGTTGGGCTGGGTGTAGATTGGGGCCAGCGCTGGTGTTACGGTCGGGGCAGAGGTTAAGTCTGGGGTGAATGTTGCTGCTGAAGCAGTCTGGGGCTCGCATTAAATCGTAAGCTCTGAGGCTGACGTGGTCGTGGGCTCTTGCCCTTGCATTCTACCAGTGACAGCTTCAGACGGCACACGACCCCAACAGGTGGTCATACGTCCTCCTCCTGCGTCCCAGCGCTGGGCCGCACGCTGCCTACAGTCTGTTGGCCACAAAGCTCTTTGAAGGAGGTGGTGCTGGACCGCGTCCTCGGTCACCAGCACTGAGCAGCGCGTGCGGCTTTGGATGCGTCTGCGGACGAGCCTGCCGAGTCTCAGCCACCCTCCGAGCCCCAGGTCTCCTGTTCTGACTCCAGCCTCGCTGACACTGGGGTGAGCACTACTGTACGCAGAGGGTCTGGTGTCTGGGCGGGCGGGGACATGAAGGGCACACACCAGCCCGTGGGTGTGAGTCATCAGTCACACTTGATTGGTGAGGTCTGTAAATTAAAAGAAAGATCATTTGTAAAATACTCTTTGTATATATTTATTATATGACTTAAAGGTGCAATATTTTATTTTGTACAGTATGTAATAAAGACATGGGACATATATTTTTCTTATTAACAAAATTTCTTATTAAATTGCTTCACCTTTGTATTTAAAGTTAAAACTTGCTGTTTTCATTTGCTATTGTACTTTTTCTCGTTATTATTCAAATGACATTCCTGTGTACTGTATTTTACTACTGTTTCTATAACATAAGAGTTTTCTCTTTCATGATCCTTAAGTAATTCAGAAATAAATTTACTTTGATTATTCAGCGGCATCCTTGTGAATGTGGGTGGCTTCTTTGTGTGATGTTGGTGGCCTTGGGTATTGTCACCTTGGCTGCCTCCTTAGAGTCTGCAGGGTCATGTACTGAAGACAAAAGTCAATCATCTTACAGTAACTTGTGAGACAATGTCAACCTCATGAGGCCAAGCCACATGGGAGGTGAGCAACCGGACACTCAGTTCTCTCAAAAGCGTGCTTTCTTCTCTCTTTCTCTTCCTTCCTGCCTTCCTGCCTTCCTTCTTTCCTGCTTTCCTTTCTGTCTGCCTTTCTTTTCTTTTTTTTTTTTTTACTAAGGCCGACATAGGTGACAAGGAGTGGAGAGCATCATCAGGAGAGAGAGGAGGGGTTAACAACTTCATTCATAGCAAGAGAAATTTTTCTAGGAAATCCCCTCTGTTTTCTTGGCAGTTTGAAACATTTTGTAATCTTCAGTAACTAGGCAAAGACACTGCAAAATGCACATTTAACCATCTAAGCACTAGGATCAGGCTTGGGTCCTCTCTCATGTAGTGTGATGACGTAAATACCCAAATTCTCACTCTCTTACATGTCAACTAGGAAAAAAGTGAGAGAATCATTCTAAGAAAATATAGGGAGATTATCCCCACGCATTTCTATGTAATAAACAAGGACGGGAGGAGTTTGCAACAAGCCTCCATTCTGAAGTGCAGAGAGAGAAGGTTTAACCAGGGCAGATTTGATCCCACGGCCCCACCAGTTTTGCAGAGGTTCTGGGACACCCCTCCGCTCAGGGTCATTCCCTTCACAAGCCTCGCCCAACGTCCCACAGCCCGTCCCTGAGCTGTGAGCTCTGCCGAGGCAGGGTTTATCTCCCGTCTGTTTCTAGTCCCCAGCATCTAACGTGTTGTCAGGTGTGTCGAATGACCTCAAAATTTTTAAATAAATTGACGGATGGATGGATGGCTAGGGAGTTGAAAAGATAAACCTAGTGCACCAGGCAGAATAAGTCTATTTTTTAAACTTTTTACATGAGATAACTTAAGACCTACAGAAGCGTTACAAAGCAGCACCCTGCACCTGATGTCCTCTAATGTTAACACCTTACGCAGCCATAACGATCAAAAGCAAGACACTGACGCTGGTGTACTGCCATTAACTAAACTACAGACTTCATTGGGAGTGCACCATTTTCCCATGATTGTCCATTTTTCTGCCCCGGGTTCTCATCCAGGACCCCATAGGGCATTTAGTTGTCCTGCCTCTTTGGTCTCCTCCCATCTGTGGCACTTCCTCAGCCTTTTCTTGTCTTTCACGACTGACACTTTTGACCACGACTCTGGCTAGAGCTTTTGTAGGATGTCTCCCAGTTTGGGGTCATCTGCCATTGTCTCGTGATTGGAGTGAGGTCTGCGTTATTGCCCTTCTCACTGCGCAGTATCGGGGGAACATGACGTCAATGTGTCCCATTGCTGGTGAGTTTACCTTGATCCTTGGTTGAGGTGGTTTCCGCCAGGTTTCTTTTCAACAAAGTTACTATTTTTCTCTTTGCAATTAATAAATACTTTAGAGGAAATACTTTGAGACTGTGCAAATATTCCGCTTCTCCTTAAAGTATTGTTCCCTGATTTTAGGATCCGCTACAGCTGGTGCTGGTGATGTTCTAATGGTGACTTTCTATTTTCTTCATTCCTTCTACTTTTGCTAATGGGAATAGTGTAAGAAAGAGTTGTCCCTTCTCCCCTACTTATTTATTTATTGACTTATGTCGATATGGACTTTAGGATACATATAATTTTGTTTGGGTTAAAATCCAACACTATCATTATCTTGTTGCTCAAATCGTCCCAGCTTTGGCTATTTGGGGTTTTTTTAGGTTTATTATATATATACTAACCCATGAAAGCACGCACACACACACATCTACCTTTATTTCTGTACCTATGCGTTCATACTGAAACCTCAGGTGCCGATCCAGCGCAATAGGTCATCATTATAGTCTGTCTACACCTTTTTCTTATTTGTAACTTGTTTCTCTGACAGTGAGAAGCCTGGCTGTCATTATCAACAATCTATTTTCTTGGTTTGACCTTAGTATACACAGAAAGTAGTTTCAGAATTGCCAACATACACTCCTGTGAGAGAAAAAAAAATTACCAACTAGAGAACAGTGTTTGTATAGAGTTCTTCTGGTCTCCAGCCGTATAGCATCCGGTCAGGACACTTCCCCAAAGTTGCTGAGGTCGTCTCCTTTCTCCCCCCTGCAGAGTGGTTAGGTGATTCCTTTGTGTCGTTGTGTGTCACAGTCTGCTTCCTTTTTGGGTTCTCCCCACCTCCTGGGCGATGGCTTTTGTAATTTTAATGCAATAAAACTGACTCCGTGGTTTTCGGTTCCATTTAGAGAGTTGTTTATCTACCACCCCACTGTCTCACATAATAGCTCCCTCGCCCCCCAATTCCCTCGTCCTGCCTCTTTGTGGGCCCCCCCCCCCCGGCAACCACTGATCTATTCTATGTTCCTATAATATTCTCTTTTCCAGAATTTCACGTAAGTGGGATCATACAATATGTGGGCTTTGAAGTCTGGCTTCTTTCACTCACCAGAACACATTTAAGACTCGTGCACAATGTTGGGCGATAGTTCGTTCCTCGAATGGGCTTTGCGTGGATATGCTATAGATGAGCATCATTCTTCCAGTCAAAAGACAGCTGCGTTGTTTCCAGTTAGGTGATTTGAATAAAGTGGCGGTACCATTTTGTGTTCCCACCAACAACAGAGCGCTGCAGGTGCTCCGAATCCTTGCTCCTCTTCCCTTGGTATTACGAGGCTGCTACTCTCACGCAGTGATCCTCAGACAGGGCTGTACACAGTGGTTTTATACAAAAGAAAGTCAGTAAATCTGATGTATTGAGAAGTTGGGGTGTGGGGTTCCCAACCTCTGACTGGTGGACCCTCCTCTTCTTTTTTCCTGCCGTGCAGTTTGTGTTTTTAATAGTCGCTATTTTTTAGAGTAGTTCTAGGTTCACAGCAGAATTGAGGGAGGTACAGTCGCCCTGTGACCCCCGCCCTCACAGACGCACGGCCTCCCCACCATGGAGAGCCTGCGCCAGAGGGCACCCGCGCTACCACCTGTGAACCACACCGACACATCGGCGTCACTCACAGCCCACGGCATACTGGGTCACTCAGCTTTGTCTGTGCAGCTTTCATAAACAATGAAGGCTTTCCTTCTGATTTCTGAGTCTGTGGTGTTATTCCCACAACAGGCCATGCAGGGAGGCGGGGAGATGGGGTGAGGTGGGGTGGAAACCTGCTATCGCCTTTTCTCTCTGAACTGTCCTCCTTTCTTCATCAGACTCATCCCAGTTTGGCTTAGTGGAAATTCCTTCTGAATCTGGCAGCCTGTTAAATAATGTTACCAGTTTCCAGCACTGTTAAAATGTTGTGTAAGTGTGTGTGTGTTCCTGAATATTATTCAGAGACCTAGGGAGCCGATGGACAAATCGGGTTGCTAGCTTTCCCCACCGTGTCTTGGAGTCTCTTTAACTCTTGCACAGAGATATAGATCCCTCTGCACCTGAGCTCATGCTGTTCCCACCTTCCCGCTTTCCTTGATCTGGCAAGTTCCTACTTACCTTTCAGGACTGAACGCCACTGTCTTCTCCTTGAGCAAGCCTTTCCTGCACTCCCAGCCTAAAGGGCCCACGTACACTCTGTGCTGCTCTCTATGTCCACACCTGCTACACTGAGTGTTAGATGGTGGGGAGACACCGTTACCCATCTCTGTGTCCTCGGCCCAGGGCAAACTGCCCAGGAAACCCTAGGAGGTGTCTTGTTATGGTGACCTTTGTCCAGGGAGGAGAGCCCCCACTGGATCACAGAGGGATCTGAACCCCCAGCATCAGAACATGGACCAGGATGACAGCACTGTTGTATTCCCTCACTTTTCATTTGAGTGCATATGTTTTCTGTTAAAAAGGTAAGAATATCTAATTACATACAGGTTAACCGAGACAAGACTTTATTAAAAAGCTCTCTTTTCTAGAGAAAATTTGGCGCAGAAATGATTTCATGATAATTTATTCCTTTATTGATGCTTTATTAATGTTGCATAGATATAAAATTCTACATATCCATAATTTTCACTAATAAATACAAATGTAAATAAGAACAAACTACTTTCGAATAATTAAAAATATGTTAACCAAATATTGGATTTATTGTCAATTAAGTATATACTTTGAAACAATTCTAAAGCTACAAAAGATTAAACTTCCTGATAAAATAAATCATATTCTATCATAATCAATCATTTTTAAAGAAAACCACCCAAAGAGTCGAGTTCCTTGGGCGATTCTCAGCGTTCCCACACGTGGCTCTCTCCAGCTCGCCTGCTGGCCTCGTCCCTTCCCTCCCTCCTGTCCCTCGTCTCCAGGCTGCAGGAGGACAATCCTCCCCATCCTGAGCCTGGGGCTTCCGAGCCATGGCTCTGGGCGCCACAATTAATTAGGCGCATAATTAACCGAGGTCCCCTGAGGATGTCGTCAGAACTGTCACCACGCCGAAAACTACTGCAGGCAGCGCTCTTTCCCCTCTGGAAACTGTCGCTCAAGCCACGGGGGCCCGCACCAGCCTCTCCGGGCGTGAGGCTCGCAAGGACAGGACTCTTCTCAGCAGTCGAGCTGCTCCTGAGCTAGGAGCGAGTTCGGGGGTTTACAGTCCTTGCTACAGGCCAGAGAGGACTGAGTGGCAATGACCCTAACAGGAAAAGGAGGAACCAGGCGCAAAGAGAGACTGAGTGACTTACCAACGGCCCCTCGCGTTTGCTGAGCGCTTTTACTTTATGGATCACAACGCATCAGAGGGCCTGCGGCTCAAAACAAAATTTCTAGGAGGTGGGCAAAGCAGACATCCTTTTATAAACGAAGACACGGAGGCTCAAAGACTGCAGCCACTTACCCAGGGCAGCATAGACATGAACTGCTGTGGTTAGGACGTGAACGCAGGTCCTCAGGTGCCCAGAGCCTGTCCTCACCACGCCAGAGCCTCCTGCTGACTGGCCCGCGGTGAGGAGCAGCGCGGCCACCTCCACCACCAGACGCCGGCTGGGCACCACGCGGACGCTCGGAAGCCTGGGGAGATGAGCACTCTGGTCCTGGAAGAGGGACTGTATCATTTTCAGGGGTGTGCTAGACAGTGCTCACGCCTTGATAAATGACAACCGGCACGTGAATAACCACAGAATTGCTCTAATTATAAACACAAGGAGAAAGGACAATAAATTGGGGACAAGCTACCAAACAGTATGTTGGGCATTAAAATAATTCAGATGGGAATGTACCTCATTCACCTTTCAGAAATGCACATTAAAGAAAAATCTTGATAAAAATACCAATACAAAATGGATTTTAAGATCCTGATTTCCTATAAAAAACTTCCAATTTTCTTGTTTAAAAATTTAAAAAGTGGGGCCAGCCCTGTAGCTGAGTGGTTAAGTTCACTGTGCTCCACTTCAGCGGCCCAGGGTTTCACTAGTTCGGATCCTGGGCGCAGACATGGCACCGCTCATCAGGTCACGTTGAGGCGGCGTCCCACATGCCACAACTAGAAGGACACACAACTAAAATATGCAACTATGTACTGGGGGGATTTGGGGAAGAAAAAGCAGAAGAAAAAAAAAAGAAGATTGGCAACAGTTGTTAGCTCAGGTGCCAATCTTAAAAAAACTTAAAAACGTGAGGCCAGCCCGGTGGTGCAGTGGTTAAGTTCACAAGTTCCACTTCTGCGGCCCGGGGTTCGCTGGTTCAGGTCCCAGGTATGGACACGGCACTGCTTGTCAGGCCATGCGGTGGCAGGCATCCCACAGAGAAAGCAGATGAAGAGATGGGCATGGATGTTAGCTCAGCGCCAGTCTTCCTCAGCAAAAAGAGGAGGATTGGCGGTAGATGTTAGCTCAGGGCTAATCTTCCTCAAAAAAAAAAAATTTAAAAACTGATCTTTTTCAGCTCTCATAATTTTTTTTCCTACTATAAAAAGTTGGTTTTGCCTTTGGAAAACCCACCCGCTGTGAGTCAGCTTCCTTTCAATATGATTTGGTGATCAGAAGGCCTTCACCACGGGAGTGACCTTGCGGAAGAACTGATGACCTCGGGAGTCCGTGTGCTCGAAGACATAGCCTGGAGGCGAAGGACAGCTGGCAGGGCAGATCTCCCGTCTCTTTGGCACGTACTCTGTGGAGTACATGGTGACGTCATCAAACGGAGCAGAACTCTTAACAGGAACTTGTAAAGGTCTGCAGCTCTCCGTTGGAACCAGTTCATGAGGCACATAGTGACACCTGAAAGTGCTCAAACCCTCGAACCTTCCAGACGGGGCAGGAATCTGCGGCTGCTGCTTGACGGGGCCTTGGCGACGACTCTCCCACGCGGGAAAGTCTTCCTTTGTGGTGCTCTTCCCTTGGAAGGGATCACTGTTCCTGCTCCGATGGGACAGCGGCCTGATGGGAAGGACGCGCGTGGCCTGATGGGGAACGTAGTCGAGGTGGCTCGTGCTGTCTGACTGCATCGCACCTGCAGGAGGAACGTACTCCTGCACTTTCCTGACCTCAGGGGGCGGGAGTTCCCACGGCTGGAAACTTTCACGGAATTCAGTGCTTCCTTCGAAATGAGCTCTTTGGGTCACTCTGGTGTGTGCAGGTCTGCAGATTTTCGCAGTTTCACCAGCCAGACCCTGAAAGTCACGTCGGTGGGTTGTGAGATCCTCAAAGGGTTGGCTGGTTGGCTTGTAAACTTCTCTCGGCCTTGAGGACTTGACTTCTAGCTGGTAAGGCACATAGTCAAGGCGATGACTGGTGTCACCATCAAAAGGGCATGTGGAGCGTTTGACCACAGAGCTGGGTCTAAAGCTCTGCCTGGGCTTTATCTCCTGTGGAACATAGTCGTCCTGAAATGTGGTTGAATTTCCAAATTTCACAGCGGGGGGAGAGTAAGTTTGTTCTCGTTTATAAAGTTCAGTTTTCTGAATGTCCCAAGCTCTATAATCATCTTGAAAATAAAAAAAAACAAGAGCATTTTTAAATACTGGAGTAAACTACCATCTTCTAAAAATCATGACTGAGTTCTCTCATTGCCATACACCCTTCCATTTCCTTTAGAAACCTGACCACCAGTCGAGTCTGAAGCTTCTCTGATTCACCTCAGATTTGTTTTTTTCCTCATTCTCACCTTCCTCTTCTTATTTCCTCACTTTAAGGCACACAACTTTGCAATTCCAGATTCATCCGATTACAGAAGAAGGGAATGGAACATCTGAGTGCTGGAGTAAACCATAGACTCTAGGGGTTCACGTGAAATCAGGGGCCTGATGTGTGGGTGAAAGTGACGTGGGCATCACTCCTTGCTTTGGAGGGACTGCTCAAAGGGGAGAGAATTTCAGCTCCATTCTCTCTAGGAAGCCTGCAGGACAGGTAACTCATACTATCCCAGAAAGGTCACTGGCTCTGACTTTTCCTCCTCAGGAAGTGGGTTCAAAGCATTCACAAAACATAGAGGGCCACTGAGGCCAGGAGTGTGGAGTGACGCTCTCAACAGCGTCAGAAGCTGTGAGTAGAGTTCAGAAGTGAGCATCAGAGCTCAGTCTGGATGCGTCAAATGCCTTAACTCTGCTCCTGCAGCTTGCCGAGACCACGACGGAAAACTGAAGGGCCTGCACTTCAGCTGCGGGTTATCTAGGTTCTTCTATTTCTAGATGACAAAGGCAGAAATCTGAGAAATACTACAGAATTGACTTCACCCAAAAATATGTATTTCTAAATACCAAAAGTCAATTTATAAATGACAGAAGTTATACAAGATAAAGCATTAGTCTAGAGTCCATGCAGTGTTTACTGGAAAGGCCAAAATTCAAACGTTTATTATGTGGATACTTCCTTTGAAGAGAAAAATTCCTCATCCATGGATATTTCTGCCGAGATGGCCAAGTTTTGGACCAAGTGACTGCTCCCACCTCAAGCTACTGATGTCTGGACGGGAGTGGAAGCTGCTCCAGGAGCAGGCGCTCCTTAGGCTGGCAGAGACCCGTGAGACAGGCTGGCAGGAAAGAGGAACTGGGGCGAGTGCATTTCCTGTTCTCGTGAACCTAATTTGAAAATACATGGGCGGATAAAAGCGGGAGAAGACTCTAAAAGGATCCACGAAGCAGAATGGAGAGCCACAGTGAGCTGAAGACACCAGGCAGACTTGCAGGGAGACAGGAACGATTGCGGGGGGGTGGCCATCCAGCAGAGGGCGGTCGGAGCAGGGTACAGAGGGAAGCAAGGACGCTGCGGGAGAAAGCACGCGCTCCGGGCAGAGACACAGGGAGGAGCTCCTCTCTGAGAGTGTGCCTGACGGCTTTCCACTTCTGGTCCATGTGCAGCCTTACACGAGCCCGCTTCCCCTCGAGGCCCACGAAGGAGGCTCCACTGTTTACAGCCTAAAACGTAAAACTGTGACACTCTTTGTCAGTAACTAAGAGGAGACCACAGGTACTACGGAAAGTCTGCAGCTCCACACAGACATGCAGGGAGAGCCCTTGCTGACAAGATGACTGAGAGAAAAAGGAGTTTATTTCACAAGTAGAAGAGAATATTTCTCCATTATAAACCAGGTTTGCTTTTCAAACAGGAAAAATTTTAGACTGAAAGACAAGGTTTAAGAGCAGACGTTAGCACGAAAATCCATTCTAGGAAACTGCAGAGCACTGACTCTCCTCTTGAGAACAAGCCTGTGCTCACATCTTGGGACATCTACGATCTGTAGTGACACCCTTTTCATTCTTGCATTTGGAATTAATGTCTTTTTTTCTTGATCAGTCTGGTTAGAGTTCATCAACTTTATTACCTTTGAACAGAGTCGGCTTTTGGTTCCAATGATTTTCTCTATTGTTTTTCTGTTTTCAAATTCCCTGATTACTGCCCTTATTTCTTTCCTTCTACTTTGCTTTGGGTTTAATTTGCTCTTATTTTTCTAGTTTCATAAGATGGAGGCTTAAGATACTGATTTAAGACTTTTTTTCTAACATGAACATTTAACGTGATAAATTTCCCTCAAAGCACTGCTTTAGAAACATCTCACAGATTTTAATATGTATTTTCTCATTTTCATTAAATAATAATACTTCCTAATTGCCTTTGTTACTTCTGTTTTAAACCACCGGTTATATAGGAATCTTTAATTTACAAATATTTGGGGATCTTCCAGATTTCTTTCTGTTACGACACCTACTTTAATTCTTTTATGATAAAAAAATATGCTTTGTATGACGTGAACTATTTTCTATTTGTTAGGGTTTGCTTTATGGCTCAAACACTGTCTGGACGTTTGTTCCACATACACTTGACAAGGTCGCGTTCTGTCATTGTCGACAGGAATGCTCCACAAACGTCAGTTAGATCAAGGTTTTGACGGTGTTGTTTAGGTCTTCATATCCTTACTGGTCTTTTTATCCTTAGCTAATGTCCCTTTTTATCCCGGGTAATGTTCCTTGTTCTCAAGGCTATGTTTTCCGACGTTTAGGTCATCAGTCCTTAAGCTTTCTTTTAACTAGAATTCTCGTGGTATACATTTTTCCATCATTTTACTTTTAACATATCTGTATCTTTGTATTTAAAGTAGATTTGATGTAGGCAGCACACAGTTTGTTCTTTTTCTTCACATACTATGACAATCTCTGTGTTTTAGTTGGCATGGTTAGATTGTTTACATTTAATGTAATTATTGATATGGTTGAATTAAAATCTACACTCTTGTTGGTTTTGTTTTTCTCCTATTTGTTCAATGAGTTCTTTCTTTCTTCCTTCCTCTTTTTTTTTGCCTGCTTTTGTGTTAACTGGGTATTCTTTTTTTTTAGATTTCCTACTTCAGTAAGATTTATTTAGTGGTTGCCATAGCAGAGATGTTGGCAAGCTTCTACTATAAAGAGCCAAATAGAAAGTATTTTAGGCTTTTGGGCCATATGGTCTGTGTTGAAACTACTCAACTCTGACACTGCAGCATGAAAGCAGCCACAGATAGTAAGCAGGCGAATGGGCATAGCTGTGTCTCAATAGTTTTACTTAGCAAAAAAAAAGCGCTGGGTCAGATTTGGCCATTGACCATAGACTGCTGACACCTGCCCTAAAGATTACAATACATATTTCTAATTAATCACAGCCTATTTTTGAGTAACATTACACTGATTCACACACATATAAGAAGCTCCTAACAGTAGACTTCTATTTCTACCTTTCACCTTTTGTACTATTTTGTTCCACTTTTAACTTTCACATGTGGTACAAACCCACAATATATTGTTAGTTTTGCTGCAGAAAAAAAATTTTCTTTTATATTAACCTTGACTGTAACCGTTGCTAGGGATCTTCCTTTCTTTACGTAGAACAAGCTCCGTTCTGGTCTCGTATTCTCTCTGCTTTAAGAACGTCCTTTAAAGTTCCCTTAGTGAAGGTCTAGTGATGAGTCCGAGTGCTTACTTCTCTGAGAAAAGTCTTCAGTTATCTGACAGACGTCTTCATGGGGATTGAATCTGAGAATCTGAGTCGGCAGGTCTCCCTGCTGCCCACCCTCAGCATTTCAAAGATGTAACTCCATCATCTTCTCACTTGCAGTTTCTAACAAAACCCCTTTATACACAATGTGTCCTTTTAAATCCGACTGCTTTAAATATTTTCTATCTTTCACTTTACATACTTTGAAGATGTCTGAAGATGTTTCTACATGACTTTCTTTTCTTTTTTTAAAAAAAATTACTCTGCTCGGTTCTTTGAGCTTCTTGGATTTGTAGTTTCATGTCACGCTCATTATTTTTGAAATTGTCTTCCAATAATTCTTCTACCTTGTTCTTTTCCTCTTCTTCTGGGATTCCACCCCCCCACACACACACATATATATGACCCATTTAAAAGTGTCTCACAGTTTTGGATGCTCCGTACTGGTTTTATCTTTTTCATTTTCCTTTCTCTTTGTGTTTTGGTTTAGGTAATTTCTATTGACTTATCTCAAGTTCACAGATTTTTTTTCCTCTTAGCTGTGTTGAGTGTACCACTATCAAAGGCATTCTTCATCTCAGTTATTACGGGTTTATTTCTAGCATTTCCATTTTACTTTTTTGTAGTGTCAATCTTTTTGCTGAAATTCTCCATGTGTTCATGTATATTTTCCACTACAGCTTTTAGTATTACTCATAGTTAATATTAATCATATTTAATATTAATCATAGTTAAAAAAAATCCTGATAGTTCCAACATCTGGGTAATTTCTGAACCTAGTTTTGATTTGATCTCCTGATGATTGTTTGTTTGTTTCTTTCTCTTTTTCTTCTTTTTTGTGCAGTTTATACTTTGTATTTGGAAGCTGGATATTGTGTGCAGCACAGTAGAGACTGAGATAAATAGTATTTTCATCCAGAAATGGATATACATCTTCATCTGCCAGGCCATTAGCGAGTGGGGTTAACTCCATTCAGTCGGCAGTTGAGCTGGGTTTGAGTTGAGTTTTAATTGAAATATTTATTTTATTTACATTTAGTGTAATGAATGGTCTGGTTGAGTTGGCCTATATTGTATTGGCTTTTGATTGGTCCCATAGTCTTTGTTTCCTTATCCCTTATTTCCTTCCTTTAGATTAATAAAGGGTATTTTTATTATTCCATTTTCTCCATAGCACTTTAATTATAACTTTCTGTATTTTTAGAATAACAATGCATTTTTGACTTATTAGGGGATCTTTTTGGCCTAGTCAAAATTAAATTGATGTTTTTACCACTTCTAGAACAATGGAAGAAACAGTTTAATCCCATTTACACCCTCCTGCCTTTTGTGCTATTGTTATATTTTAGTTCTATATTTGCATAAAAATACATAATAATTATTGTGACTTTAAGAAGTCAATATTCTTTTGTATTTACCCACATATTTACCCTTTCTGTGTGCTTCATTCCTTCCTGCATTCCATGCTTCTCTCTGGAATCATTTTTCCTCAACCTGAAGAACTTCCTTTAGTACTTTTTGTAGTATGGGTCTGCTACCAACATATTCTGTTGTTTTTTCTTCCTGAAAACATCTTTATTACTGTCTTATTTTTTGAATGATATTTTCACTAGATATAAAATTCTGGGGTTCACTGAGTTTAAAATTCTAGATTTTTTTTTCCTTTCTGTACATTAAAGATGTTGTTTCATTATCTTCTGGGTCCCATAGTTTCTGATGAAAGTTAGGTTTACTTCTAATTTTTCTTTCTGTAAATACTGTGTAGCTTCCTCTTACTACTTTGAAGAATTTATCTTTACTTGCTTTCATAACTTTGACAGCAATTGCCTAGCTGTGGTTTTCTTTGTGGTTTTATCTATTTTGGGGTTTGTTGAGCTTCTTGAACTTGTGCCTGATTCTTTCATCAGTTTCAGAAATTTCTTGACCATCATTTCTTCAAATATTACCTGATTCTTCAAAGGTCTCATAATGTCTTCCCATACACTGGATGTCATGTATAAGGAAACCACAGAAACTAAAATCAATGCTATTTCAACAGGGGACAGCTTGCTCCTTCCTGTTAGGCAGACAGGATACAGGGCAGATCCCCTCAGGCCAGTCAGAAACTGAGCTGGGCTGACACTCAGTGGCACCTTCAGGTAGACGCAGTCTTCCTCCAGTGTCAGACGTCTCAAGGACATGACCTGTAGGCTGTTTGTGGCAGAGCCCTCGTTCTAGGGGGACTTCATCTGCTAAGCATCTACTCCCAAGTGAGACTGCGGGATACTTCTCTAGGACCTTTCTGGTCCAGTCTCCTCTCCCACCGCGCTCCCAAACACTCAGCCAGCATCCCTCAAGGAAAATTGGCCCAGCACCTGGGACTCGCAGATTCCACTGTCACGCCAGTCCATGTGGCAGGTGCTCCACTGGTCTCCCTTCCCCCAGTAGAGTCCCTCTGCTTATGCCAAGCGCAACCTTCAGCCTGGCCCTGACTTGACAATGCTCCCAGGGAAGTAAGCAGTCGGCCGTCTCAGCTCACCTAGAAGGGCTCCTCCACCTCTGGAATTAGGTGTTTGCTTCCACAGCCGTCTGATGCCGTTAAAAAGAAGATGTTTTAAAAATTTATACATGTTTCTAGTTGTTGCAGTGGGAGAAATGACTTTCTGCTGTCTGCTCTATTGTACCTGGCAGCAGAACTCAAACATCTTCAAGGCCACAGGAAAAATGTAAAGCGCCTCAGTCTGGCAATCAAAGCTGCACGATCTGATTTCAACCCACATTCTTAGGATTACACCCCAATCTCTCAGGTCCTCAAATCCTCTGGTCTCCACCATGTTCACTAAACAACCCTTTTCTTTTTCTGGCTCTACGCCTTTTTGCTCATTTCATCCTCGCTTTTGGGATGTCCCTCCTCTTTCTGGATAACAATATTTACTAATCTCTCATGTGTTCCTGGACCAGTCTGAAGTGGTATCTTGCTCAGTCTAAATTTCTGAAGCACTAATTGTTCCATTAATTTTCTAGTAAATTATTTCCCCCACTTGTGATATCTCATATTATTTATTTCTACTATGGCTCTTTAATTTTTCATGCTACTATTGCTCTTTTTTTCTCAACTCAAGGGTAAAGTTTCTAAATGCCAACCACCACGCTCAGTTCAGATCTCCGTATTCCCTGCAGTGCCCAGCAGAGCAAGTGAGCCCTGAAACACACATCAAAGCAGACACCAACCTGTGTTCAGCACCCACATCTTAATATGAACGAGTTTCTAGCCTGAGGCTGCTGGGCAGACACGTTTCTGAGAGTTGCCAGTTTCACAGAACCGCATCTCCAGACCCAGATGTCACCCTTCTTACCATCCGGCAGGAGATTCTTTCCTTTATCATTTCCCATTTCTGCCTCTCCTCTGTCCTCTAATTCTCAGCGAATAGAGTCTCTGCCCACTGTGACTTCTCTTCGGCCACAGACCTGTCCTCAGGTAGGTGTCTAGAGAACCTGCGGCACACTCATCACACAGACGCTGAACTGCCTCGGCCCTTAGCGTTTGCTGTCTCACGCCGAAGACCTGGAAATATAAGGACAAGCTTTCCTCCCGGGAGAGAGCAGGAGTGAGACACCCACAGGGAGCCAGGAATCCTCAGCATCGGACCATGGGAGTGGAAGTGTGGGACTCCACAGAGACCCACGTGAGGAGAGCAGAACCAGTGTCGGCGTGTGTGTGTGTTACATGGAAACGTCAGGGAACATCAGTATCACTGGTTTTTAAACAGATCTTACAGAAAAAAAGAAAAGAAAATCCTACTGTGATTGTTTAAAAGACCCAGCACAGTCATTTTCATGAATTATCTTTTGTCAAATTATTATGCAATACATTATCTCCTCTACATTCCAATAAATACAAATCTTAGCCATTACTATACGCTATGTTGGCCTGTAACAACATACTTGTTCACCACAAGCACTGTCTTAAGACATGTTCCTTGTGTAGCATCTTACATACTCACAGCTCTGAAAACAGAAAGAACGCTGCTCCTGACCTCCTGCTGGGCAGGCGTCCAGAACACAGTACACGGTACCAGGCACTCTGCTCACTCAGTGAACGGGTAAGGGTGACATTTAGAGCAGAAGTATGCATTCAGCTATTACCTACTCCAGGTATAAATCACTACTTCTATTGTGGACGACATCGCTCTTACAAAAGGGTTTACATTAGGACATGCTCATTCAGCTATGTCACATAACTAATGCAAAGGATGTAAGCCTAAACATGCAATTGCATTATTAACAAAAAATAATACAGAAATAATATGTACTAACAGGAGAGCCCATCTTAAAAAAATAAAGACTCCATCCCCCAAAAGCAATAGAGTATTTTTAAATCATATTGATTTTTTTTTCCTGCAGGGTAAGATTGGCCCTAAGTTAACCTCTACTGCCCGTCTTCCTCCTTTTCCTTCCTCCCCCCCCTGCAAAGCCCCAGTACGTGGTAGTGTATAGTTGTAAACTAAAATCACATTGATTTTTCAAAAGAAATTGGTCACACGCCGTCCAGCCCTTACTCTTTCAAGTCGGCTCAGCAGGGAGAAGGCATTCTCACACTTCTTCCATGCTGGAAGTCCTGCAGGAGCAGGTGCCCTATGTGCTGGGCCAACACTGTCTGTGGCTAGGGGATAAGCCCATTTTATCCTGAGGTTCAGGGTCAGAGGCCGTCTGCTACAGTTGCTAAGATGTATTCTCCAGCCCGAGCTTTATCAGTACAAGGGGATAGTTTGAGTCTCCATCTGCTAACTCTTTTGCTTTATCAGTTGGTTCAGAACTTGAATGGTGAAGAGGGTTGCTATTTATCTGACCTTCCCAAAGACTCCAGTGCACTCGGCAGTTTCAGCTCATTCTGGGATGGGAGGAAAGGAACAGCACCCACTAAATGTGGCACAATGTGGCAAATACGACCTAATGCTTGTTCACCGGCATCCTCTGTCTTGCCTTCAGAGACAGGACACTAATCAAGTGGCTGAATTTGGACAGGAATCCAGGTCTCTTAACTCTCAATCAGGCAAATGGTCTTTTTTCACTATACTGTTCTGACCAAAGAGAAAAAAGATTTTTCCTAAGCCGTGTGGGCTAGGTTTGGCAGCACGTCACAATTATGATTTGACGTTAGATGTCCAAGCTGGAAGCGAGTTTTAGTTTTTTGACTCCATTTTTTAAATGGCAAGTTACCTTTATAGGTTGGGACAGTGTCCAACTTTCCTTTTTTAATGTGTTTTCTCTCCAAAGGCCGCACTATTGCAACAGGCTGCACTTGATAAGAATTAAAATCACGTTTGTAGGTGGTACCAAGATCGATCTCCCCCTGTTTTGGTTTATATTCTTCTGGTACATGACGAGGCTGTTTGACTATTTCATAAGGACGATAATCCGACCTGAAATACATAAATTTGAAACACAGCCTCACAAGTTATTTTATTTCTAGTTACACCAATGCAGTGTTGAAATTTTCAAGGTTTTTTGTACTTGAAAATTCTATGAAGATATTTAAATGTGATCGTTGATAAACTACCTGAAAGAAATAACTGAATTCCTTTAGGTCCTATCCTGCGACTAAATAGCTTAAGAAAAATAAATATGTCAAAAATCCCAGTTTTCAAAACATCACTACAATAGACCCTGAGTTAATTGGATCTTACATCAATAAAATCTTCACGTAATCAAATTTTTTTCTAACCTGGAAGGAAATCTCCGGTAAAAGGTTTAATGAATCTGAAACAAATTTTAAATACATGCTCGGGGTTCACTTTGTCAAAATCCTTATTCATTCTACTTAAAGACCCTGGTGAACCATCTGGGCATGCCTTCTTCTTACTGAAGTCTTGCTGTCTTCCTGCTTGTCATTAAATAATCAATTAAGTATATAATTCACGTCTAAACTCTGGACTTTAGACATAATTCTCATTCACAGCATGGATGTGAGTCTGACTCCTCTCTGGACCCTCGGAAGCCGTGGCCATGGATGGAGCCCCTGGTGACCGGGCATGTGAGACATCATGTGGCAGAGGTGGTGCTGCAGACACTGAGGCTTCTGGCGGAGAAGGTGGATGGAGCCCCTGGTGACCCAGCCCTGGGCATGTGAGACATCACGTGGCAGAGGTGGTGCTGCAGACACTGAGGCTTCTGGCGGAGAAGGTGGATGGAGCCCCTGGTGACCCAGCCCCTGGGTGTGTGTGACATCATGTGGCAGAGGTGGTGCTGCGGACACTGAGGCTTCTGGCCGAGAAGACCAGACTCACCCTCATCAGACTGCCTGGGCTGAAGCCTGCCTCTGCCATCCCCAGATGCACGACCTAGCACAACTCAGTTAACCTGCCTTTTTTCTTCCGGACTCTAGTGACTGTGTTACTCATTCATGATCTGTTTAAAACATCTCGTATTAATCAGTATCTTCTGTATTTCCATAAGCTCCAAAACCCACTGATCCCTTCTCCTTTCACAACGTAGCTTCTCAGACTCGTTGACTCCCTTCCTCAGCCATCGACCCCCCTCAAGCTGGTCTCCAGCACGGTCACTTCTCTAGGGCAGCTTAAAGGCTCACGATGACTTCTGTGATGAATCCATCAGACAGGTTCGGTCCTCCTCCTGCGCGGCCCCTCTGGCAGTAACTGACAGCACTGCCCACCCGCTCTGTCCCCAGAAATCCTCTCTCCCTGCCTTCCTGATGGTTTCTCCTGTCTCCTGTGCAGCTCCATCCTCCTCTGCCCAGCCATTACCTGTTGGAGCTCCTCAACACGGGAGCCCCCACGCTCTCCTCCTCTCACCCAACGTCCGCTCCTGAGGACAAGCGCTCTGCTCCCACAGCTTCAATTACTGCTGCACAGAAATGGCTTTCAGATTCACGTCTCAGCTTGGATCTCTCCTCTGAGCTCCAGACCAGTATTTACAACAGCCTCGTGGACAGTCAGTGGCACTTCCAAACTTGATAGCCCCTAATCAAACTCACTATTTTCCCCGAACAGCCTGTCCTTTTTGCTTGCTCCCTGTCTTAGTGAGCGGCATCCCCATCTCCTCAGCTGCGGTCAGAAACCTAGGACTCGGGCTTCACACTCCACCTCCTCCTGTGTCTGGGTCATCGTCAACTGTTGTCAATTTTGCCTCCTAAATATCTCTCAGATCTAACTGCTTTTCTCCATCTCATCACACCACAATCTTCTTTGGCGTCCATTAAATACAGTGGGAAAGTATAAGAATATTTTAAGCAGGAAGGCAAGAGGATCAGATCTGCATTTTAAAAAGATCATCTCGGCAGGCTCAAAAGTACAGAAAACAGATCAGGGACGCAAAAACTAGGGTAGATACAGATCTAACAATTAGGAAGCTTCTGCATTTCCCTACCTAGTGGCAACGGTGGAAAAGCAGATAAATACGACAGATTTTAGGAGGTAAAAAAATCAATAAAACTTATTTCCCTTTTTCCTTTTCACTTTGTGCCATTCTAACTTAACTCTCATCTTTCTATTTTTCTCAGGTTGTGACTCAACTAGTTTATTGCTTCTTGGATTGGTTCAACTTAAATCAAGTAAGTAGTTCAATTTATAGAGTTAAAAAAATTATTAAGACCAGAAGAGTTGGGAGAAAAATAAGTAAAGCAAACAGTTTCTCAATATTTACTTAAATGTTGTCATTCCTTCCATTTTACCACGGCCTGCTCGAAATTCCTGCTTGGGCTTAAGACTCTGAGGTGGAAGAGCACTGCCATACGGAGGGTATTTTTCCAAATATTCAGTTGTGGGGCAAAACATGCCAGCATTTTCATAAATCCTTGTGGTTCCATGAGGACAACGATGCCGCCTGAGCAAACATAAACAAACGAACGATCATTTCCACCTGCAGAACATGCTGTGTGATAACTGCATTTTAATCAGAACTTCCATAAACTCAGAATCGCTAAGTTTAAGAGCTTTACCAAAAAACACAAACAAAACCCCTTCTGCTTACTCTGCAGTGATGTTTACAAACGCAGTGAACAAACCACGGTGCACCCTCACAGGGTGGAAACTCCCATCTCGCTGTGCCTACACCGGCGTCTCCTCCCACCGCAGAGGCGGGACGGCCGGCAAGTGGACCGCTCAGGCTCCCGCATCCACGTGCTCGCGGGAGGCTGACTCGGAGCCACCGGGAGGGCAGCGCCTCCTGCACGGCTGCAGTACCGCGGGAGGCGCGGGGCGTGGGGCCAGCAGCCGCGTCCCGGTCACAGGCGGCGTCCTGACCCGTGGGGGGCGCGGGGTCCGCCCGGCTCTGCAGTTCCCTGACTGCCGCAGAGGCAGCGCCCGCCGCACGGCTGCAGGACCGCAGAGAGGCGCGGGGCCTGCAGCCGCGTCCTGGTCACAGGGCGGCGTCCTGACCCGTCGGGGACGCGGCGTCGGCCGGGCTCTGCTGGTTTCCTGATTGTGGCAGAGGCAGCCGCTCCCTTGGCAGCCCAGACCTGCGGTGAAACTTTGGGGCATTTTTCCAGAAGGCTTATTTTGAAACTTTTCTTTCATTCTTCCAACAATTCTGTGAGCTATATATACTACTCCATGCCTAAACTCCTTCATGTCCACAACTAAGAAGCGTGACCAGGACATCAGATAAGCTAAGAGCATGCAACTGTTAAACAGAAGGAGGTTGATCCTTATGCAGGGCGGCTGGAAGACGGAAAGACGATAAAGTGAGCACATGGGCTGTAGAATAGTGTGTGCAGTATGCGCTCTCTCTTTGTAAAGATTGTGGATGTAAAACAAGTCTTAAAGAACAATTGTTATCTGTGGGGAATAGAATTATGAGGAATTTTTACTATAGATTTTTATAGTGGAATTTTTATACCATGCCTCATGTATATTTACTTCATAATCAGAAAAAAAGAAGATAAAGCTCTTAACAAAACAGAAAAAAGTAAAATCCCACAATTCCGAAACATAAGGTCAGTTTCTCAGGTCTGGCATCCTTTAGGGACCCCAAGAAGATGAACATGCTCTGTAAAGGAATCGGAACCAGCTAAGAAATCTAGACTCACTGAGCCCCAGGAAGAAGGTCAGAGAAATGAGCGCTGTGCTTGGGGGCTGCTGGCCAGCGCGAAGAACTGCAGTGCCGGCAAGAGTGAAGAGGCGGTGTCACGGGCCGCCGAGAAAATCCAGTCAAGGGAGCTGAGACTCCGGAGGGTCCGCTGAGGCTCCGGAAAGCGCTGAGGTGGTTTAGGGCCCCATGGTCTCCCGGAAACACGGGAGCGGTACACAGGTCAGGCAAGCAGGTTCTGAACAGTGCACTGAGCTACAAGAATCAACTCAAAGCTTTGGGACCTCTCGGTGTTTGTGTTTTATACACATTCACATTGTAACAGATCAAGTCGTGCTGAAGAGCTGGTACAGAAAAGCAAAGCCTCCTGGGCAGTTTCCAACCCCCAGAGGCAACTTCTTCCCAGCTCTGCTTCCTAGTTTTTCCGGAGGCTGCATCTGTAACACTTGTTTATGGCTCTGAACATCTTGATTTATCAGCTTGAATTACTAACTTTCAAATCCTAACATACTAGACAAAGATTTAATTTATACCACTCCACTCACTTCCTACTGAGATATGGTCATTCATTCCTTTATTCATCCCTGCAGCAAGTATTTAAGGACCAACAACTATGGAAAGGTATTGGGGACACAACAAGAAGAAAGAAAGGGCAAAAAATTCCTTCCCCTCCTTGAGCTAACATTCCTACTAGGGGAGGAAGAGAGAGCCAATGAACAAACAAATCAGAAAAATACACAGCACGTCACATAATGGTTAAGTTCAATGGAGTATAATGAAGCAGGTAAGTGGCATAGAGTGTGGGGTGGGGCAGGAGGGTTGCAATTTTAGATAGCATGACGTTTGAGCAAAGATCTGAATAAGAGGGACTTTTTCTTACATATACCTTAATTACATTTGTATCTGTAAATAATACACTTAAACCCCTCTTGATTCCATCAACTTCAGACTGCATTTCTGGACATCCTGCTTTGCAAAATGAGAATATTAGCTCAGAAATACTTCTCTTTGACTTTCTCACTTTGTAAAACAATGGAGAAAAGTATTAGCTCCTAATTATTTTTCTCCAATTTCCCTCTCCCTTTCACATCTGACTTTCTGCCAGCTACATCTTTTTATTTACTATATATTACAAGTTTGTTTAGATTTTGTCCTTCAACACCAAGTTGCCATGCTTTGAACCTAGGTTCTTCTGAAAAGTTGTGACCCTGGTGTACTGTTTACTTTACCATGACTACGACATATTGTCTACTCAATATGAGTAGACAATAGTACAGGCGCTCAATGAGTGTAGGGAGCACCTTTTCTGTTCCATGGAGTCAACACCATGGCCCGAAGAGCACGCAAAGCAAAAGGTTCCCAGCCTCAAGATTAAGGAAACTACCTTTCCTTCATGCTATCACTTATCAATACTTAAAAATCATTCTAAATTTTACTTTACTTCATTTTTAAACCGTAACTTTATGGTATAGCTTTTATTTTTTATTCATTTATTTTCTGAGGAAGATTAGGCCTGAGCTAACATCTGCTGCCAATCCTCCTCTTTTTGCTGAGGAAGACTGCCCCTGAGCTAACATCCGTGCCCATCTTCCTGTACTTTACATGTGGGACGCCTACCACAGCATGGCTTGCCAGGTGGTGCCATATCTGCACCCAGGATCCGAACCCTCGAACCCTGGGCCACCAAAGCAGAACGTGGGAATTTAACCACTGCGCCACCAGGCCAGCCCCTGTATAGCTTTTAATCTTCCTGAAGTTTCTCATGCCTTTAATTCTTCTCAGATTCTTTGCGTTTCACACGCACTTAAGATGTTCACCCTATCCTACCATCTATTTTAGCGAGTCCCCTTTCTTCACCGCAGGTTTCCCCAGCTGGGGCCCTAACTTTCCCTAGAAAAGCAATTTAATGTTGTAAAGAAGCGTTGTTCCCTCCCCCCCACCCCCCCCCGCCACGTCCTCGGGGTGAGCGTCAGCTGCCTGAGCTTTCTTGGTGGCGGCAGACTGGTGGGGAGCCTCCGACATAATGAAGACCAAACTTCCTCACAGCTGGACGGGAAAGGAACTGGGACCGGACATAAATTAACTTAAAGGTTAGAAAAAAATTAACTTTCTTGCACATCAGAGTTTTTGGATTCATAGCTAAATATTAATTTATCTTCTAATCGACACCTAATTACTACTTGTAAACAACGTTTATCACGCAGCTGGGGGAAACTGCTTTCCGTCCATACGCGTCTTTCCTCCGGAGAGGACGCAGCAGGGAGGACGGGCGCGTCTGTCGCTCTGGCAGCGGGGCGCCCCCGTCCGCAGTGCACGCGGAGTCCGGTCCGCACCCGTCAGGGCGTCTACACGGCGCACACCACCCGCCCGGCGGAGTCCGGTCCGCACCGACAAGGGCGTCTACACGGCGGATAGGGTGACGCCGCGGCCGGCGGGCGCAGCGAGCGCTCGTGACCTGATGAGCGGGGCCGCCGCCGCGCCCGCGCCCGCGCCCTCCGTCTCGGGGGCCCCCGCCGCCCCTCCTGGCCCCCTGCCCCTGCCCCTGCCCCGCCGCGTCCTACCCGCAGGTGCAGATCCGACACAGGCACCAGCTCCGCATGCCCAGCCTGACGCTCCGCTCGCGGCTCCAGCGCGCCCGCCGTCGTCAAGGCGACCGCGGCTTCCGGGAGACGAGGCCTGCTCCAGCGCGCCCGCCGTCGTCAAGGCGACCGTGGTTTCAGGGCTGCGCGCGCGGCTCCAGCGCGCCCGCCGTCGTCAAGGCGACCGCAGCTCCCGGGCGACGCGCGCGGCGCAGCTTCCGGCGGCGTCAAGGGACGCTAGGGGTCAAGGGTCATGCGCTGGCCTCCTACCCCGGCGCGGGCGGGGTCATGCGAGGTTTCTTGCACGCAAATATGTGGAAGAAGAACAGGGGCTGAGAGTTTTGGAGGAAGACCCGCGAGGTCGGAGCGGTGCAGGGGAGCCAGGGGGGATCTCGGGGCAAACAGGAAGGAAACTAGGCGAGTCCACGCTCCTGGAGGAATTGCACGCGCACACGAGGGTCATCAGCACCTCTGGGCAATACCACACCGACATCGGGAGAGCGACAATCGGAAGGGACGGCTGTGTCTGGCCGCACGTCGTCGGGAGCTTTTAGGAATTTACTTTTGCCTGAGCTGCGGGAAGGGACCCTTTCTGGAAGTTGAGGAGTTAATGTGGGTGAATGAATGTGTCAATCCTGTGTCGGGGAGTTCTCGAGGCTTTTGAGTGGAGAGAAGGGCCGTGTTCTTGGTGAACAGAAGGAATTTCCCCAGATGCTGAGTTGTTCGTGGACTGCCCGCTCCCTCATGGCTGAAAGGGGCGTGAGCAGCGCTCTGGGGAGGGTTTGCACTCAGTATGTGATACGTTTGCAAAGTGGGAATGTCCCACACGTTGTCGATTTCTCTTCCCCGACAGCTTCCCTTCTCCAACTCCACTCCCTTTAAAAAATACAAAAGGCTTTTTCGTTTAAAATTTAAGTGTTTGAAGTAAATGTCCAAATCATTCCCTTTTAATTTTGTATTTTAATTTATTGGGCAGTAAGAATGCATATGCTGTATTTTTACAGTTAAGGTACATGGGCAGCAGAGAAGATGAACAGATCCCGAGGGATCACTATGAAATCCAGTGCCATTTCACTCCATTATACAGAAGGTAAATCAGGCTGTGTCTTAAAGAAAATAATTCCGTGTCCTTTCTCTTCCTGAATTAATTGCGTGCCTCAGTTTCTTTGCTTTATGTTCTGCAAATTTCCTTTTGACCTCTCCAAATGATCTGTTGTCAGAGTCCAGCTGTCCAGACCTGGATGCAGATGGGGATGGTTGACTGGCCTGAGAGCAGCGCTGGCCGTTCACCCCTGCCCCTGTGCACCAGGCGATGGGATGGGTGTCTTCCTCAGGAAAGTCAGAATCCTAGGGCCTTGCTGGTTCAGCCCTAGTGCTCCCTTTCCTGGCTGGTCCTGCATATTGGGTTTAGAGTCTTAACTTAACTGTGGGTTTCCATGATCCTTAAAGCTTGCTGTCCCCAAGTCAGAATGTCGTTTTGACAGTAACACTTCTAGGAATTTATCTGACAGAAATCGTCATACAAATGTCATACAGATTTCTACCTGTGAGATGGATGTTCATTGATATTCACCGAAAAGTCTGTGTTAGTGAAAAAATGCCAACAACCTTAATGTCTGTCCTTGGGAAGTGGTTAAGTAAACCTGTACCACCGTGTTGTGAAATGCTGTGCAGCTGTTCACACAATTGTTTGATCTACATGTAATTATATAGAAAAACATGCTAAGAGACAAAAAGCAAGTTGCAGAGTAAATACTTGTAAGATATGAATGTGTTTTGGTAATAAAAATACATTATGCATGTAGATAAAGATGTCTGGCAGGACACACACCAAAATCTTAACAGTAGTTATCTCCAGGGGCTGGATTATGCGAAACTTGCACATTGCAAAATATTTATTTTTTGTACTGTTTGGAAATTTTACACAAAATGTGTGTTTTTGCAATTAGAAGAAAATAGTAAAGATATATTTCATTCCCCTAATGGCCTGACCTGTGGTTCGTCCTTCATAGTGTCGTTATCTCTGGTGCTGACACCAAGGGATGCACCGTGGGGGCATGACGGTTCCCTTTGAGGGGAGTCTTGGAATTATTTTTGTACTAAACCAGTTTGAAGCTCTCAGGTACATGAATTCTCGGTGTTTAATATTTAAACTAATGCCTTATTTTTTAAAACTACCTTACATTGTAAAGGGTCCGTCCTCCTTCTGTGATCCAGCGAATGGGTCAGTGGTCAGTTTCTTTCTCTTCTCTCCTTATTTTTATAGACTTCAGAAGATCTGTCGCCTTCCTTTCTCTATACTCACATCATTAGTGAGTTTTTCTTTGAAGATTCCTCTAGTGTCAGTTTTAGTTGCTCTCTCTGCACTTTGGCTCCAGTTCCCCCACCCCTTTGTTTAACTGTCTTATTAAGGTTTACGTGGCATTCACCTGTTCCAGTTCACTTTCGTCTTTCTGGTATGGGACTGAGAGAGAGGGCCTGTAGGACTGTCGACGAAAATAATCCATAACCAATCTATAAATGAAAATTTGGGTGAGTTTATTCTGAGCTTAAATCTTAGGATTATAACCCGGGAGAGTCTGTCCACAAAGGAACAGAGCACTCCAAAGAAGTGGGGGTACATAGGGAAATTATATACCCTCAAAGAGAGTTTCACGTATGATTGAAATGTCCCTCCCACAATAGTCACAAGATTGCCCTGTCTGCACAGTGCTTGATGGACACAGCAGGTAGTGGTCTGCTATCTCAGTGGGCGTAGCAGGAGGCAAGTCTGTTGTCTGGAGCTGGGCGGTCACAGGTGAGCGCAGCAATCAGTTTCTAGCCTAAGGAAAGATGCTTAATCCTTAAGGAGATGCCAATGTTGGGAGGGGGAAGGAAGTTGCACCTTTATCTCAAGGGCCTTTGCTCTTGCCATAGGGAATCTCTAAAGCAGATATACAATGCATGCTCAACGGCCTCGGTCAGGCCCTTTTGGAAAGACAAGGTCAGGCCGAATTAGGTTTACACCAAAATGGCTTCCTCATATATTCCAATATATCCTATTACTTGCCATTTTTTTTTGACAGGACCTTGGGGACTGAGAGGTCTCCCATCTGTTCTGTTGGACTCTGATCTTGGGCATCTCGATCTCGGTTTGCTTCAGATAGGCTTTCTTGATTGCACAGAACAGAGACTTAAGCCAGCTTGGGTTGGGGTGGCTTATTGAAAGAATATGCGTGAAATTATATTGGAAACAATATTCAGGAAAATCAAAAAGCAGAAGCGCTGTTGGAGTGACATCTCATAGAAATTGAAATCACCTGTCGATTCTGGACCCAAGATTGCCGTAGAGACCATCAGTAAAAGTTGATGGACCTCCCCTCTGGAACTCCACTGCTGTCTTTAGGTTTAGTTCTCTGTTTTTCTCTCTCTTATTAACCAATAAGCCTCTTCCTTATCTCATGGCTTTTGCCTGCTCTTAGTGTCTCCATCCTCATGATCCCACCTTGCCCTGACCTTTCTTCTCAATTCCTGTCTGTTTTTTTGCCTTATTTCCTTTGTGTTGCTCTCGTTTAGCCACACCTGCTTTCTGCCCCCAACCCCTCCTTAACCCCTGGCAACCACTAACTGTTCTCCATTTCTATACTTTGTTATTTCAGGAATGTTGTAGAAATGGAATCAAATAATATGTAACCTTGTCTAGATTGGCTTTTTTCACTAGTCGTAATTCTCTAGAGACTTAGTCTAAGCTGTTGGGTGTGTCAATAGTCCGTTCATTTTTATTGCTTAGTATTCCATGGTATGGCTGTATCAGTTTAACTATTCACCCAGAAGGACATCTGGGCTTTTTCCAGTTTTTGGCTGAGTAAAGCTACTGTAAGCATTTATATATAGGTTTTCATGTGGACCTAAGTTTTTATTTCTCTGGGACAGATGCCCGGGAGTGCATTTGCTGGGTCATATGGTAGTTGTATGTTTAGTTTTTAAAGAAACTGTCAAACTGTTTTCCAGAGGGGGTGTACCATTTTTCGTTTCCACCAGCAACATGTGAATGATCCAGTATCTCCACGTCTTCACCATCATTTGGTCTTTTGTCGCTTTTTTTTAAAAGCCATTCTGATAGCTGTGTATTGATGTGTTGTTGTGATTTTAATTGTCATTTTCCTACTCGTAATGTTGTGCATCTTTTCTGGTGCTGATTTGTCGTCTGTCTAGTCTTTGAGGTGAAATATCTCTTCGTGTCCTTTGCACATTTTCTTTCTTTAGTTGAGGTATAATTGACATAATATTAAAGTGTATGACATAGTGGTTGATATTTGCATATATTGCAGAATGATCACGAGTCTAGTAGTTACAAAAGATCTTTTTCTTGTGATGAGGAATTTTAAGATGTACTCTCTCAGCAACTTTCAAATATGAATACAGTTTTATTAGCTATAGTCACCGCGCTGTACTTGACATCCCCGTGACTTACTGACTTTATATCCAGGAGTTTGCCCCTTTGACCCCTTCACTCTGCCTTTGGCAACCACCTATGTATTCTCTGGGTCTATGACTTGGTGGGGTTTCTTTGCTTTTTTTAGATTCCACATGTAAGTGAGACCATACGGTATTTGTCTTTCTCTCTCTGACTTATCTCACTCTGCATAATGCCTGCCAGGTGCATACATGTCGCAAATGGCAAGGTTTCATTCTTGTTTATGGCGGAGTAGTATTCCATTGTGTATATGTATTGCATCTTTATCCATCAATGGACACTTACGTTGTTTGTGTATCTTGGCTGTGGTGAATATGCTGCAGTGAACGAGGGGGTGCACATATCTTTTCAAATTAGTGTTTTCGTTTTCTTCAGATAAATGCCCAGAAGGAGAATTGTTGGATCATATAGTAGTTCTATTCTGAGGAACCTCCATACTGTTTTCCATAGTGGTTGCACCAATTTACATTCACACCAACAGTGCACAAGGCTTCCCTTTTCTCCACATCCTCAGCAACACTTGTCATTTCTTGTCTTTTTGATAATAGGGTTTCTAACAGATGTGACGTGATATCTCCTTGTAGTTTTTTTTTAATTGAGTTCATAATAGTTTACAACATTGTGAGATTTCACTTATACGTTATCGCTTGTCCGTCACTGTATAAATGCTCCCCTTCACCCCCTGTACCCACCCCCAGCCCCCTTTCCCCTGGCAACTGCTGATCTGTTCTCTTTGTCTGTGTGTTTATCTTCCACATATGAGTGAAATCATGTGGTGTTTGTCTTTCTCTGTCTGGCTTATTTCGCTTAGCATAATACCCTCCAGGTCCATCCACATTGTTGTGAATGGGACAACTTTGTCTATTTTTATGGCTGAGTAGTATTCCATTGTATATTTATACCACATCTTCTTTATCCAATCATCAGTTGATGGGGACTTGGGTTGCTTCCACGTCTTGGCCATTGTGAATAATGCTGCAGTGAACACAGAGGTGCGTAAGTCTCTTTGAATTGCTGATTTCAAGTTCTTTGGATAGATACCCAGTAGTGGGATAGCTGGGTCATATGGTATTTCTATTTTCACTTTTTTGAGACCTCTCCATACTGTTTTCCGTAGTGGCTGCACCAGTTCCCATTCCTGCCAGCTGTAGGTGAGGGTTCCCTTTTCTTTTTTTTAAAAAAGATTGGCAGCTAAACTAACAACTGTTGCCAATCTTCTTTTTTTTTTTCCTGCTTTTTCTCCCCAAATCCCCCCAGCACATAGTTGTATATTTTAGTTCTGGGTCTTTCTAGTTGTGCTCTGGGGGATGCTGCCTCAACATGGCCTAATGAGGGGTGCCATGTCTGTGCCCAGGATCCGAACCAGCAAAACCCTGGGCTGCCGAAGCAGAGCGCCACAGGGCCAGCCCCAAGAGTTCCTTTTTCTCCCCAACCTCTCCAACATTTGTTATTTTTTGTCTTGGTGATTATAGCCATTTTGATGGGCAAGAGGGGATATCTCATTGTAGTTTTTGATTCGTATTTCCCTGATTAGTGATGTTGAACATCTTTTCATGTATTTATTGGCCATCTGTATATCTTCTTTGGAGAACTGTCTGTTCATATCTTCATCCCATTTTTTGATCAGGTTTGTT